GTCGATCTCCGAGTCAGAATCTGTGCTGTACTTTAGAGAGAGATTTCAGAGGAGGCCTCTTAATGCCAACAACATGAGGAGAGTGCCATGCTTTTTCTTACTGAAGATGTAAACACAGGGCTTAAATGAACCATCCATGCTAATTTGGATTCAATTGCATGGCTAATCAGATCACAAATCTGCATCTTATTAAAGATTTTTTTTTTTATCTGATCCACGTCGTCTGTATGCCATTTATTCAAAGTCAGCCTTTTTTCTGGTTTTGAGTGTTTACCTCCAGTCGGTCGTTGGGCCACTGTTCGGCTTCGGAGGCCAACGCCAGGGCCCGGGCTTCGGCATCCCTTCGTAGCCCACCCCACACGTAACGCCAAGCACGGCTGTTCCTGCTTCGCCTCGACATGCTAGCAGCAGTCCCAAAGGTCCAAGAGCCTTGTTATGCGATCTCTGTTTAGTCCAGATATTTAAGGAGCCACATCAGTCCAGCTGCTGGATGGAAACAAAACAGCAGGCCTCAGTTAGATTTGACTTCAACTCTTTAATGTTTTTTCACTAAACATGTCCTGCTCGGATGTTCAAGAGGGATGCAGATTACACCTCCCATAAAATATATTCCGACTTTACTGCAGAGTTTTAGAAGAGTGGTACCTGAGCCCTGGCTGAGGGGGTCACATTACACAGAACAACAGGAAGCTGAAGCAACCAATGTAGCCTATGTCCTTGCTTTTCTTTCATTGTTCATATGAAAGTATAGGGAAAAAAAGCTCTCAGATTATTGGGAACCAAAATAATTGTTAGGTGTTTTTTTATTTTAAACCATTATGTCTTAAGATTCTGATATAAATCCCCAAGATTCCTGATTTTAGATTCCTCTAACTGGGATTTCTATACTCTGGGAACCACAGCGGGGTTTTAGTTTTAAAAACTGCTATTATACATGATGACTCGGAGCAAGGGTGTAACTTTGTGATGAACGTTGGTGGGGACACTCTAGTTACTCAACACTTTCATTATTTGGTTTTTGTATTTTCCAAAAATGAACTCAAACATATTTATTGAATGCTTTTCTATTGTTGAGAACACAAGAGAACTATAATACACTAATATTTATATTTATAGATAGTTAGAGAGATGTCTTTTAGTGCATTACATACATAGGGACCAAAAACAATGTATAAAAAAATAAGGAATAACAGACGATTTCGATGCCAAAATCGATATATTATGCATCCCTAGAAGTAAAATTTTAATTCCATCCATCCATCTGGAAAAATATGGATATGCTTCATTTTAAACATAGCATAGCATATTTTTTCTTGTAAACTTTCTGGTAAACTTGGAGATATATTCTATTGCATTTTGCATATCCCAGTAAATCTGTTTCACCTTTAAATCTGCAGCTCTCCCTACTTCTCTCTGTGCTCTGTTCAAAAAAGATTTATGAACCTCTATACTAATATGATGATGCCAGAAACTACATTTCAAGATTTGTAGATACAGTCTGATTCTGTCATGTTAATTCTAACCTGTAATTTGGAGTCACTGTCCTCTGAGAAGCCCAGATTTTTTTAACTAGTAAAGAAGAACAAACTATGTTTTCTCAAGCTTCCTACATTATAATACTAACTTGAATAAACTTACAATTTGTTGCCTTTTTCAGGTGAAAAAGCTCTGTATGTCAAAATAACTGATTTTCAGTGGTATGATCTCTAATTTTTTTAACCAACCAGTCTCCTAACTTTTACTTAAACATCAAAGTAGCTGCCGGTTAATATTCACTGAGTGCTGCTGTGTTTCTCCTCCAACCACGTAGCGACTCTATGCAGTGAAATGCGACCGCAAATCAGATGTCTCAAAGCAAGACATCCGATGATGTTACACCGGGAGACGGTGTAACATCATAAAAAAAATGCTCTGAACACAGTAACCCAACTCTGTTACCTTTGGCTAAAGTAAATGAGCAGGGAAAAAAGCAGAACTTATTGGTGGGGACATGTCCACACCAGTCCTTCAGAAAGTTACGCCTGTGGCTTGGAGGAATAATCTAAACTGAAACACAGATTTAACCTCTTAAATCTGTTTTTTTTTTTTTTTTTTTTTTTTTGCAAACCCTCTACATCCCCCAATTTTTTTTTTTTTTTTTTACAATTCCTAGTTTCTTGTATGCATCAGTATCAGTATGTTATCTGCATGTGTTTATGTAAGGCATGTGTTTTCTGTGCTTACTTCTATATTAGATTTGCTTCTGTCTATCTTAGGTGTATATATGTAACGGGTGGCATTAATGAATTTCTAGAGGTCGTTCAGTCAAGTTTCAATTAGATCTTTTACTCTGGGGGAGGAAACATCTAAACTGAAATACAGATTTTAGAAGTTGCACATTCCTAATGCAAACCCTCTACAACCACCCTTTCTGTTGTTCCCCTTTTTTTGTTGTTGAATTCATAGTATCTTCCAGATACAAGGGCCGAAATTGCTACAAAGGAACCCTAAATATAAATATACATGAATTATGATTACAACTAATTTGAAAATAAATACAAATTAGAAGGGAACCAAATCACAATTATGCAAACGTGCAATTAGGTATACATTAATTAATAATTAATACCAAATCAGAAGGCCACTGGTAAAAAAAAAAAAAAAATGTGAACATGTATTTTGAAATATCGTTTTATTTGTGGTTCGTGCACATTGTTTTGTTTTCTTTTTTTATTTTTTATTTGGCACTTTTGGACCTCTATACAAAACATATACACACAATGATCGTCTAAAAAACAAACAAAAAAACAATCTATATTGGCACCAGACTCTTGGAAAGCGCTGATTTAAAAGCAAATATGAAATTCGCCATCAAAAAAAAAAAAAAAAAAAAAAACATATATATACTATGTCTTATTCCATGAAATGTATTTCCTGTTGCATTGAGTGTTTTGTTTTGTTTTTTGTTAAGCCATTTTTTGATCACTGTATTCTTCAGGCATCTTATTTTTGATTCTTATATTAAATCTAATGGTTTGACATTCAAAATAAGGATAACCTGCACATAAAGCTAAGAAGTCTGCTTTGCAGCGACACATATATATAGAAAAATCCCAATCACATAGAAAAATCTTATATAAGTGACTGAAATTGTCTCTATTAAAGCAATATTTGATGTAAGATTGTCTTTAGCAGGTTGATCCACACCACTTAGCCTACCTAGCAAAGCAGCTAACGCCCGTTAACCCAACAGCTTCAGCTTAAACTAAAACAAATCTGATCTAAGTGACGTCACAACATTAAAGTTATTCTATTAATATTCCTGTGTCTATAGATCTATTTATGAATCGTTTTTATATGATGATTTATTGCATAACCAGTGTGTGGGTCAATGCTAGTGAAGCGCAGAAAGAGCTAGCATGGTGCGGCTAGCAGCTGTCAGCAGACTTTTATTGAGAAATGATCAAAGGCAGAGATGTTACCTGTTTAACTGACCTCCTGCGACACATCAGCACCGAGTAATCCCCGAGGATGGAGCTCCTTTAATGCCGGGGATAGATAGTTAACACACGGAGGAAGGAGGCGTTTCGTTTTTCCATGACCTACTTTCTGTTAGTGTGACCGTATAAACAAACACAGGAACTCCTGCTAACACAGCTACATTAGTGGTCTGTTCACTATTAAATGTGAATACAAGTCAATAGAAATATTAGCAAAATAAACACCATTTTTATTTATTTTTATCATTGTGCTTTATTGTACAGAGCTCAAACAGAGACTATACATTTAAAACACACGAGAAACAAAATGTATGGGTTATGGGGTCTCATTAGTGCCAAAAATATGGTTATACGTTTTTTTTTCTCAGTCATCCAGGTCATAGTCATTCCAATAAAATGTTAAAAAAAAAACAATCCGCTGGACTTTTTTTGTCTTCAAACTTGGAAACACAGTCCAGCGGATTGTTTTTTAAACTTTTTTTGTATGTTATGCTCTTATGTCCAAGTAAGGTTTATTTGTTATATGCTTGTGTTTATCAGATCCCAAGTCTCCCGGAAGTTCCGGGAGTCTCCCTGAGTCGGATAAATTATCCCAGATTTTAGACTCTGCGAGTGTTTTATTTATTTATTTATTTATTTATTTTTGCTAGTGAGAGTGAGCAGGCAGCACATTAATTGGTGCATCATGTGCGGATTATAGAACTACTGCGATTGCGCAGACAACAAGAGAGAGTGGGGTGTGGGACGGGCGTTGCTGGTGAAACCTGTGCAGCGTTTCTGTCCAAAGCGATGCTTTGTTCAACCAGCTTTCCAGGCGACTGTTGATCAGAGTGCTGATTGGATCAGTCCGATAAGTTTCTCTGGTTTACTCTCTGGCAGTCACCTAGTTACCACTCAAAGCTGTGCACCCTGTGAAACGGCAGAGGTTCAATCCTTGAGTAATAAAACGAAAATATAGGACTAATTTTACAGCAGAATATACTAAAGTATATCCAGGTCTAGTGAAGGTGAGGAACAGTGGCGGATCTAGACCAAATGTACCAGGGGGCCAGGAGGGGGCCAGCGTGTTTTCATGGGGGCCCAGAAAAGCATGAAATAAATAAAAAAAAACAGGGAAAGGGATTCAAATATATTAAAAGAGCTGCATGAAGGGAAATTTCTTTTCAATGAGGTTCAGTAAAAACTCTATTTCTTATGAGGTCAATATACATTTATAATTTAGGAATTTTACATATTTTTTGACTTAATTTAAGCTAAAATTAATTTTTTTCAGAATTATAAATCAAGAAAAACTGATAAATTCAACTGTAAAAATTAGAGCAATTATTTTTTATTTGTTGTGGAAAAAAAATATTTTGCAGATGACAACTGGGATCCATTCTCAATACCAGTGAAGCTATCACCTTATTGTTTTTGAATAATTAGTAAAACAGAATTTGTAAAGTAGTGGAAGAGACAAGCATCTCCCTGAAATGAGTTTCTGGAACTTGGGATCTGCTGCGGAACACATTACATCATAACCGCTGTTTCTTCAGGGACCATTTACAAACGGACCGCGATTGGGGAGTGTGTGCATTGCCTACTAAGGTCATCTAAACGTTAATATTTTTAGTCATTTTTCTTGGTATTGAGGTTAATCTATTTAGTCATAAAATACTGACTGATATATTTATTGTATTTTACTAAATTTTGTCAGATATTTGAATGTGCTTTTTAGCACTGAGGTCTGCTGCGCTTACACAATTCCCTCCCCAGCCAGGTCAGTGTAACGGCCGTTTTCGTCCTCAGGTTAAACAGCGACTCGGGTTGAGTTCAACTTGCAGCCATGGCGAAGAAGAAGCGTCTCCGTCTGATCGCAGAAATGGCTCGGAAGATCCGGGCGTACAGAGAGCTGAAATCCCGGCCAAAGGATTCTCAGAAGTATGCGCTGGACTACGAGACGATGAAGCGGCCTCTGACCGGGAAGATGCTGCCCGTGTTGGCCTGGCAGGACGTCCGCAGGGAGAGTCGCCTCTTCTCTCTGCTGGCGGGGATGCGGACGTTCGGTGTGGGTCGCATGTTTACCCGCAAGTCGTGGTTGGAGGAGCACCAGGAACCCAGCTACTGGCAGATCACCAAGGTCAAGGTGGACTACACAGCTGAGGTGAGCTATCAATGGAGCTCAGCTGTTTGCTTTGATTCCCCTGCACCCATTCAGGTTTATCAGGGTTGGAAAGTAAAATGCATTTCCTTTCTTACGGGATAGTAAGAGAGGAAATGCATTTTTCACAGAGCAGCAATCACAAAGCAAAGTCTACATTAAAAAGGTTCTGCAGGTTTTAAAGCAAGGAAATTAGCAAATTGTTGACTTTCCAGTTTGTAACAAAGTGATAAAATGTGTCTCAGCTCAGGTTAACCTCTGCTAAAAGTCAGAAAATCATTTCTGATAATGAAGATTAACGTTATTAATAAAGAGGGAAACAAATATTAGAAAACTAAGATCTTTAAATGAATGCATCTGTTTTCCATCCTTTTGTAGAACATGGATCATGGCAGAGCATGGGGACTCCTCACACATAAAGGTAAAGCTTGACTCTGCTGTGCATTTTCTGCTTTACTGCATTCAATTCAATCAGTTTATTTATTTAGCACCAATTCACAACACATGTCATCTCAAGGCACACCATCCTGGGTTCCATGTTATTATTTCAAATAAAACAGTTGATGTTGATGTAAAGTGACACTATGAGAAGTATAAATGCAAGGAAGACACCATGTTATCAATAACTATATATTTCTGTATATGCTTTATAGATGTAAGGTCAAATATCTTTTTGTAATAAAGATGCTCAAGAGAAATAACTACATTTCAAATGAAATATATTTCTTAGGAAAACAGGAAAGTGAGGTGAAGGAGGTGGAGAAGGTGATGTACCACGATTGGCGCCTGATCCCCAAAGACATGGAGCAGCAGTTCCGCGACTTCCAGCCGCTCCCGGAGCCGCCGGTGCGTTACGTCCCCTATCCTCCCCTGCTCCGAGCCATGCTGCTGGCTCAGCGTGGGAAAGCTGGCGTTCAGGCCGTGACGGACGAGCCGGCCTTGCCTTTGAAGAGGGACGTGGTGCTTAACAAAGACTATTTCCGCAGACAGGAACAAGAGAGTCAGAGGAAAGAGGGGACGGCAGTGTGACACCAGCCGCTGCTGTGTCCTGGACTCATAGGATCTCTATGCAGATGTGTGTGTGTGTGTGTGTGTGTATCTGAAAGATGTTCTGAATATAGAAAAAAAAGAGATGCTCATTTATGGATTTTTCTCTCTTCATTACGTCGATCCCATTTGTACTGAAATACTAAAAAAAAAAACGCCTGGCCATGCTGATAAAAATCACTTCTACAACACAGTGGATCCTGAATCTTATTTAAACCTGAAACTTCAAGTTCATTCACAATTTTTTCCCCGTTTAATGTAAATCAAGGTGGATCAAAGTGGCCAACAACAGACCATATGATTTATTTGTGGCACTGACTTTCCAGAAAAATACAAATATTTACCCAAAAGCAAAGGCTGCAAATGCTGAGAGATTTTTACTGAAAATTAGAATCCTCCTAAAATGAAAAACTTTAGATATGCCGCAAAGTACCTTTTAATCAAGCTTGCTTTTAGCTTTGATTGACATTTCTTTAATATGCCCACAGATATCCAGGAAATAAGGAAACTTGGATGCACCTATTATTGTTTTAACTCAGTTAAATAAATAAAACTGTGTACAAGAGTGAAGGTGTCCTGTTCTTGTTGCAGAAACCTTTAAGGTTTAACTGTCATTTTAATAACTAATAACTACCATGAAAAAACAAACACAAGTTCACAACTTTTTTTTTCAACTGAAATAATGCGATATGTCCTTTACAGTGGATATTGGATAGCAATACATGTGAAAATTACCCTTACTAGTGATCTGTCAGTATCCAAAGAAAGGACAATCTCAACATAAGTGTGAGGTTAAAATCCACATAGCTTTTCTTAATCATTTCTTTTAGTTACTTCTGTGATTTGGTTTGATATACAGAAACAGCTACGGTAATTAGTAATCCTCCCTGGGAATGCAGAGATACTCAGCAATTCATACACATCCCATGTCAAAATCTCTTTTCCAGACAGATTTTTGCATCTGAACTCTGAAACTTTCTTGGACAATCTTGTGACTGTGACAGTGGTGTCCCCTTATAACTTTGAAATGCTTTTAACTCTGCCAGATTCTTCTTATTTTTTATTTATTTTTTTTTTAGGACATGCTGGCGTCAACTCAAATAAGTAAAACATTTTTAAATAAATGTAATTGGCCTTTAATTTGAACAGGTAAATAAAGTAAGTCATAATATCTGCCAAATTATTTTCCCCTAAAAATAAGATAATCAGATATTACGCACATGTTTTTTTCTTATTTTCAACATAAATTCATCCTTCGCTTGAAAATATTCTTACTCACTATGGCTGTGATAGATAAGAATTATTTTCCTATTCTGAGTAGAATCTTATATTATTACCTAAAAACAAATCATTATAGCCCAAGATCTTTTTTTTTTTTTACTTTAAATGTTCCACTGTCCTTACAGCGAACATCACCTACATTACTTTATTAATTTGCGGTTGAATGTTAATATAATGCAAGCTCCAATGTGTTGCATGACTAGGTCATGTAATTCAGGTCACAACTGAAAAATGTTTTTAATACCAGCCATGAACTTTAGATGGGACTGATTCAATCAGATTAAAATGAATCAATTCTATATCTTCAGAATCAGGATCAAAAATTTGAATTAATGCGCATCTCTACTACTTATCCACTCAAAGCAAAGGAAAGGTTTATTTAAAAGGAGTGGTTCGAAGCAGCCTAAATTCATGTTTTTTCTAGGAAACTGTCATATGAGGATTTTAGTAGAAGAATAAAAAGGGGGATAAACAGTAACAGCATGAATTCAGGAACTGTCTCCTGGAGTTACAGCACACAATTACATTTAAACACCAACGTGGAAACAAAAGATGGATTTTCTTGTTATTTTCATGTTTTATTCCCTCGTAATCCTTGCCACACTGTCTTTAAAACAACTTGTCACACATGCATGCTGTTATTTGGCACAAGAATTTTTGGAATAAAAGAAGCCCTGAATTTCAGTATCCTAGATTCAATCACCAAATTGCAATAAAATCCCAAAGCTTCTGAGGAAACATTTCTTGTCATTTGAAAGGATAACAATGAGATTGAGGAAAAATGTATCAATGGTCACTTCTGAGTACATTCTTTATTAGTTCAATTATATACTTAAATACAGTTCAAATCATTCAGACAATGTTGTGGGTTGAATGTCTGCATAAAACATGCAGACATTTCAAGCTAAATTTTGTACAATAAATTATCGTGCTCTTATTCTTTCCTTTTTCCATAAAATGCCTTGATGGATGGAATTTTACTGAAGGAGGACGAGAAATTTACTAAGCCCTGCCCCTACATATTTTGGATATTTGAAATGTCCTCTGTAGATAGCAAAAGGACTTCATTCAGTTATATGAAATACATGGGATTAATTACAGAAGACAAACTTTAAATGTTGGTGGCAAGAATAAACAATCATATAAGGTGTTTTAAAGAAAATCAGAGTGCTTAAATTATCTTAGATTTAAAAAAAAAGTTTGCAAATTTATTACAAGGACTCTTAAGAGGCTGAAAGATGTTTAGAAATGTATAAATATGGGACAACAAATGTAGATTTTAAAGTTGTGCCAAAACAAATTCTATGTACATTTCAGTTTCATCATGGACTCATATGGTTCTCTTATTTATCTTTTACATTATTTTATTGAACGTTTTTCATTTTATTTTTGGTAGCTATAAAACATGAGTATGGCAATGCCATGTACCACATAATCGAACTGCTCTGTCAATGCCTAGATGCTTCTCTGGGTGCCATGATAGTTTCCCTGCCAACGTCCTTCATCTACCAGACTACAGGTTATCAGGGTAGGAATGTCCCTGAAGTGGGGTTTTGTGGACAGAGTCAAAGAAACATTTCTGACTGGTTGTTGACTAGTCCTAGCGTCAGTTTGTTATTGATCCAGAAGAAAACTAACACCACACCTCTGAACTGTAATAGATTTTAAAAAGCTGAAAGAAACCAGGTAGTTGTTGCGTGTGTGTTTGTAATTATTTCCTTTTTTCTACTGCTGTAGAAATAGAAAAAACAATGTCATCTCACAGATCTGGGTTTTAATCCAGACTACAGATTAGCATTTAGTGTTGCTGTTAGCATTTCTTATCATGATAAGAAATGCTATTTATCCTGATGTTTGCAAATCCCCATATCTGAAAGCATTGGGCTAGTTACTGTTGTTATATCCACTAATAAAGATCCTTGAGAGCATAAATGTATTTTTAGACATTTGAAATTATGAGAAGCGATCAAATAGGTGTCCTTTTTTACCCTGCTGTTAATGCATCCAATCTAGCTCTAATGGACACAGAAAGCTGCCACCAATGGGTCAAAAAGTCCAAAACCTCTAAAGGCTGAAGTTCTCCCTAAAAGACGCCTTGGAAAATTTAATATTTACAACTTCCTACTGTTCATCATATTTCTAGTACATTGCATTAAAGAGGTTGATACCTGTGAACTGCTAATTTTCCTTTTGATTAAGTCATCTTTCATTATTGTTGATCTAATAATAATCACCTTCTTGTCCTCCTAATGCAGGTATAGGCTAGATTCAGAGCAGGTAGGATGGATGGAAAATGGAAAATAAAAAGCCAAAAAATGAAAAATATAAAAAATATGAATAACTACGAGCACAGCTAAATATTAAATTTGTTTTCATTGTATATTGTGGATGGATGCTCAATGACCAATAAAGAAATATTTTCCAGACAAAACAGCTATTATTAAAGTTATTCTTGGTGTTGCAACGTTTTTTCTTAATAGATATGTATATATAAATGATTTTAGGTGTGTTGGGAAACTGCCATCAATTCACAATTATTTCGCAAGCTCGTATTACATGGCATAACAGGTGAAAGTAAGATGTGCCATAATGTTGAGAGTTAATCGTCAATATTATCTGCTTTAATTGTGAGGTGCAATAGTTTGAGAATCAAATGAATTCTAAACATCTACACATTAGACATAGGGGCCCTTAACCGGCATCTTGCAGACCCTAAAAAACAAGAATCTGTACTAAAAAGCATGACTACATTGTAGGGCAGGGGTCTGCAACCCGCAAGAGGCTTTTTAGACCCCCTACAATGGCTCTTTATGGTGGCTAAAATGATCAGAATAACCAATTAATGTTGTATAATAGCAAATACCAGTCTTAGAAGCTTTAGGGTTTTTTTTTTTTTATTAAAAAATAATATTTGAATGATTTTTTTTACAACAGAATGACACTGAAAGAATCATAAGTATATTTTTAGAGATATTTTCTTGTCACTGGTTTTTGGAATTATGTGTTTATTGTTGTCGTTTTTTTTGTAAATAATATCCTTTTCAAGAAGGATGTACGGTGGAGCAGTGGGTGGCAATGTTATCTTGTATCAAGAAGGTCCTGGGTTTGATTCTGCATATAGTTTGCATGTTCCCCCTGTGCATGCGTGGTTTCTCTCTGGCTACTCTGGCTTCCTCCCACAGTGCAAAAGCTTGACTGTTAGTTCACTTTGAAAAACTCACATGAAGAGAAAAGACCATTAGGAGAAATGTATTAATACAATTACTTGCGCTTTGACCTAGGCAGGAAACATAGAGCTTAAAAGATCGTTTACAGACCCCGAAACGCCGGCTTCGTATTGATGAGAGGCTGGTTTGGTGAAAAATTTGTGCGTTTAGGCCAGGGTTCGGCTTCGTGTGGATGGGGCCTAATTTTGATAGATATGCATGAGCAAGGGGCCAAGAATAGGGATGTTTTATTCCCAGGCCTGCAACTGGTGGTGGATTGGAGATGGAGGAAGTTGGTCAGTCTATAGACGACTGGTTAGTGAGACGATATGCTGAGCTTTATGGGGAGATACAGTGGATTACGTGAGCTGATATTAGAGCTTCACTCAGGGACCTGGAAGATGGAAGTCCAGTTGGATAACACAGGTTGAGAGAACCTGTCCATGATGAGCAAGCATGAAGCGACAGTGGAGAGGAAAAAACTCCCCACTGGGAAGAAACCTCTGGCAGAACCAGGCTCAACATGGCGGTCTTCTGCCAGACCGGTGGGGATGAGACAGGGAGCGCAGTAAGAGTCCGGAAGGAATGACACTCTGATGAAGCTTAGCTACAATGGTGGAGGAGGGGCTGGAGGTGGGTTGAATGAATGAAGTCACACAGCGCATCCGCCGCCTGCGCACAGGAGCAGACAGGTGCGTATCGGAGGCCTTTTAAGATGAACTTTGGATGCCGATTGGCTTTTGTGGAGGTGTGGTTCAAAGCTGATTGCCTGTGTTGCAGGTGGATGTAGGAAAGCAATGAGTTTCTTTAGTTGAACTTCCGCCTAGGCTCCATGTTAATTAGCTTCTCTAAATTGTCTTAGGTGTGAGTGTGCATGTTATGTGTGTCTGTGTTGCCCTGCAATGGAATGGTGACCTGGACAGGGTGCGCCCCACCTTTGGCACAGACTGCTGGAGATAGGCACCAGCCCCAACACAACCCTGACGGATGAAGCGGGAGAAGATGGATGGATCCTATACAAGAAAATCCCTGCTTTATCTTTATGAAAATGATCCTGTTTTTCTTCATTTTAAGAGCTTAAAATACAAATAAACTGTAGGTCGTATGAAAATGCAATGCAGTCCCTATGGCAAATATTTCATTATTAATAAAAGTTAATGTAATATTTGTGCTATAAACAACTTTCACTTAGCCAGACTCAGGCCAAAATGGTTTCAAAGGTTCCAGACCCTCCTTTGTAGGGCTTAGTCTGCTTATAGGGCTTGGTCGTCATGACGTAAGCAGTTTAGGTTGCAGCCATATTGACTGCCTCTTTTACCACGGCTCAGACTACTGCCTATGACTACCACATACTGTACTCCTTCTCAGCCTGATTAATTTGACCTTAACTTGATTTCAACCATGGTAAACCGCTGCTGTATTGTGGGCTGTAACAGCTCAACACATGATCGCCATGGGAAAAACATAGAAAATGGGTTAACTTTCCACCGCTTTCCTGCCTGGAGGCGTAACCATGGAGACCAAGCGTCAGAGAAAAAGAGTCGTCGGCTAGCTTGGATCGCGGCTGTAAGACGACCGAACATAACTTTCCACAGTATTCCAATGTCAATGAGAGTGTGTTCCCTGCATTTTCATTCTGGTAAGGTAAAGATGCACAGTTTTATTTTATAGCCTACTTTGTTTCTTTCCTTCAAAGTTGGGATCTTTTACGGGAAAACAATAAAAACGGCAGCGGGAAAAGGCTCAAATACGTGAGAAACCCGGAGGGTTGGCAGTTAACGTTACTAACAACACCTTTGAAACACATAGCAGCTAGTTAAAAGTACATTACATGCGTGAGTGGTTGTTAGGATTAGCAGTTAGCGGTTGCTAAACTAGCAGGTTCCAGAGCCCGTCTGATCACAGCTTACCTTCGTACGGATTACTGTGTTCCCACTGTTTGCTGGCTTTATGATGTGCAGCTCCTGAACCCATCCATTCATGAACTGCACATGAGACTCCAAGGACTTGTAGCTTCGGAACTGTTTTGAAGTATAGGCGCTCACTCATCGGTGCTCCACTCATTGTTTGGAACTTTATATGGATCCAAATGATTAATAATGCTGATTTTGTCAACATACCGGTCCGAGGCTTCTCTATTTAATGTGTCCTGGTAAATTCCAGATCTTTTTCGGGATTTTGACATCTTTCTTCTCTCTACTTCTACGTCTCTTCTTTCAACAACAACGTTGTATCAGAGCTATGTTTACGTTTGCGTAGCCGTCAATATGACCGCGACGTCCCACAATGCAACGTGGATCCCGAGCCCTATTAAATCATACAAAGGCTTGCTATACTCTTCGCGCGTTGGCGCGTTGCTTAGCAACGTGACGTAGCTGTCCCTCACAGACCACAGAGCTCTCCCTCCGTCCTCCATCTACAATGATCTGCCTGTTTCTGTCCATTTTTGCCCACGTCTTCCAGTCAGGTTGGTTTTGAATGCTTGTTAGTAGCTGAGCGACCTTTAACCGAACCTTTGATCCGAGTTTTTCCAGCTGATTTAGTTCATTTTCCAGGAGATGCCGGGGTTAGCTGAAGGCAGCAGACTTTCATTGGGTAACAGTGCTGTCATGCAGCTCTGCTAACTTTAACCCTGCAGTGGTTTAGACTTTAAAACGGGACTAAACCAACCCAAGCTCATCACTAACTGGTGTGTCCAACTCAGCTGCTGATCCAACAGCATGCAGCGTGGCTCCTCTTTGTCAGAAAAGTTGATTCATCGTCCTATTATTAGCTCAGGCGCTCGCGCGCTGCTTATTGGGGAGATTTGTGCTCGCGCGCAGACTGTGGGATCTGATAGGCTGCTGCAGAAAGAGTCGCAGCAATGAGGCCGACAAAAAGGTCACAGCAGGATCTGCAGGAGTTGGACGATCTGGTGCGAAAACAGGCAAAGATTGATGAAACCGGTGAGAGGCTCTTTATGTGGGGTTTAGAGAGAAGAGATTGAGGAGCTTCTGCTGCAGTGCTTCGTTTTTAATACATTAACCAATGCAGAATATCCTACAGAGTTGCTTTTACGCATGAAAAATACCAGATTTTACATAGATTGCGGGAATTTGATAAGATGCATGCAGTTTAATTAAAATTTGTAAATGTCAGCATTTTTATGGCTCTCCACTAGGGGGCGATGTTGATCAATGGGCGACCAAACCAAGGCTGGGAAGTTTTTAGGAGTAAACTACCATAAAATCTTTAATTTCAAAGAGGTTTGTGTGTCACATCCACACTAAGTAGAAGAATATTGTGAAGCAGAAGGATATTCCTGCTCATTTTCCCCTTTTTATTATTTTATCCTCATGAAACCAACATCCTTAGGCAGAATTAATCAGAATATGTGAAGTAATTTCAGATTTTCCTTAGTATAATGGCTTTTTGGGGGAAAAAAAGTTAAGTGAGGAGGTTTTCATTTAAAGAAAATAACATTAGAACAAGGTGACACAACCAGAGGTGTCAAGTAACGAAGTACAAATACTTCGTTAGTGTACTTAAGTACACTTTTTAGGTATCTATACTTTACTCCATTACTTATTTTTCTTCCTACTTCTGACTTCTACTCATTACATTTTCACACAAGTATCTGTACTTTCTATTCCTTACATTTTTAAAACAAAGAAAAAGATGTTGAGATCTCTGAAAGGTCGGACACAGGCGAGAGCGTATCAGGAGATGGAGACCAACTAGACCTCCCTCATCCTTGACCCTATGTCAAAGAATTTTTTGAAATAGTCTAAAAATTGAGCTTTCAATTCATATAGTGGCATCTGGATGTTTTTTTTAAAGATTACTTTATACTTTTATACTTTAAGTAGTTTTTGGAGTACATACTTTTTCACTTTTACTTGAGTAAAGAGGTCAAGTTGATCATTGATTACTAAACTGCACTATCTATACTTCTACTTAAGTAACAAATGTTCGTACTTTTGACGCCACTGGACACAACGAAACTGCTGAGACCTGACCATCCCCTTAATAAAGCATGGTGGTGAGTGCAGCATTGTGTGGGATCCTTATTTATCAGCAGGAACGGGAAACATGTCAGAGAATGGAAGACAGGAGGTTCTATTCTGTTAGGTTATATCTTTAAGAAGTATGCAATTGAAGGGATGTTTTCCCTTTGTTTGCAAAAGCAAGTGCATGCTACACTCTGAATGAAACAGTTCCTTTTGGTTTGAAGTTGCATTCCACTGCATTCTTTTTGCTATTTCAGGCTGGACGGGGGTGAACGAGCGCACCTTCATCGCAGTGAAGCCTGACGGTGTGCAGCGGAAACTGGTGGGAGAAATAGTGCGTCGTTTTGAGAAGAGAGGCTTCAAACTTGTGGCACTTAAACTTGTAAAGGTATTTCCTTGTGCTTCAAATATGTGGTAATGGTTAACCCATGGGAAGATAACAGACCCAATCGGCTAAGTTATTTCTGGTAATCTTGTTTAAATGTGTCCACCAGGCATCTGAGGAACTTCTCAGCGAACACTACTGGGAGCTGAGGAAAAAGCCTTTCTACAGCAGACTGATAAGCTACATGAGCTCTGGACCAGTTGTTGCAATGGTGAATTCCCCCAGCTTACAGATTTCTCAGCATCCCTTCGATGTGTTCAAGCATGCATCTCTGTTCTCCCTTGACACATTCCTGTTTGTTTTGTTTATTTTCCTGTAGGTGTGGCAGGGTTTAGATGTTGTGAAGACGGCTCGCAAGATGCTGGGAGAGACCAACCCTGCAGAGTCACTGCCAGGAACCATTCGCGGAGATTTTTGCGTGGAAGTGGGCAAGTAAGTTGATCCTTCAGCTCAGCCTGAGAGTTAGAGATCAGATCTGTGTTTTATATTCGCAGACATTTATAGTTTAGCCATACTGCATCAGAAGTGCAGGATTTTCCCTTGCAGTGCAAAACCCTCAGCCTGGCATTTAATCTCATATCGTCACCTTCTTAAAATAATCGCATAAGTTATTTTTCCAGGTTTTAGGGTTAAATCAGCCTAAGTCACATCTCTTGACATAGGCAAAAATCATAAATGGGTTTTACCACATGATTAATTCAACTGAGGGTTCTGGCCATTTCACCATAGGTGGCCAGCAGGGGGAGGACATGAGTTAGGCAAAAAAGTCAATTTGGCCAAAAAATGACTTAGGCGATTATTTTAAGAAGGTGACGATATGTAAAACAACATCTTATCAGTGTTAAGAAATTATACCCACAAGTTCAAATATATACATACTTTTGTATATTTTGGTGTGTTTTAAGACAGTAGCAAGATAATGGCAGGTTGATGCTGGGGGATAGTTTTGCACCTGCTGCACAGGCACCTTGCACATCATTTAGGGAATAAAGATGGATAACAACACCTTAGGAGGACAAATTATCTTTCCTATTTCTAATTACTCTCACAAGTATGGCCCAGAAAAATGTGGCCAAAAATATTCAAGGTTAATAATTCCCAGAATGTCTAAAAACTGAGGATAATCAGAGTAGAGCATCTGACTCTTTATGGGCTGTTTTTAAGGAACGTGATCCACGGCAGCGACTCGGTGGAGAGCGCCCAGAGAGAGATTTCTCTATGGTTCCGTCAAGGTGAGCTCCACCGTTGGGAGAGCAGCTCCAAGAACTGGATCTACTGACAGTTTCCAGAGAAACTAATAAGAAAGGACCCAAAATGGTGTTACAATGTTATCTTTTTTTTTGTTTGTTTAGCTTTAGCCATTTGTAGCTTCATAGCACAGAAAAGTAATCTCTGCCTTGTTGTTTCATCTCTTTGGTTTACATTTTTTGTTCAAAGTAAGGTGAGAATCTTTGCAGAAATGTTAGGAGCAGTAATGGATGTTTTTCGTTTCAAACTATAAAATGTACTTAATGCAAAGAGAAAATGTGGAATCAGGAGGATAATGGGTTTAAAATTGACTCATTACATGTTTTATTTAATAATGAGTTGCTATTAACCATTTAAAATTGCAGAGGCAAAATTACTTGATGTATATGGTGAAAATTACACTAAATCAACCCAAAAGGAGATTATTGATGTTTGAAAATTGCTATTTTCTTTCATTGAATGCTTTCCAGTAAGTTAAAGTCCTCTATGGATGTAAAATAATAATGTGGAAATACTTGAATGTAAAGTTTTCAGCTTTTGAACAGCATTAAACTCTTTACTATTGTTGCTTTTCTATTTTAATACCAGGCTCACTGAATGCAATAAATATAGCACATTTGTATAATAAACTCATAAAAAACTGTCTAAAGATGAAGCTCTTGTAGTTTTTTTTTTTGCTCAGTACTTTTTGTATAAACATAAAAAATAAAAAAACTCAGAACACAATGGAGATGTTTTCTTTCGGCACACGAATATGTTTTAATATTTAAAGCACAGATGGAGATTGATGCATGAGTTTCCATACTGAACAGAGAGGATGGGCTTCGGTGCTTATGGACATTTACAATTATCCCTGTACATAAATAACAACATGCCACTGTTTACCTGCTTCACAGTCAGAGAGATTATTTAAGAACCAGAGGATTAGGACAATAAACTGGGCCAATCTGAGTGGATGTGGACACACTCTGTCCTTTAGTTTGCACCACATATCTCCAGCATCTTCCTAAATAAGCTTCTATGCAGCACAGTTCCTTGAAGAAACCATCACCAACCTGTTCATTGGCATGCATCCCTGTTTCCCCCCCTTTATTCTGATACTCCTTAATAAAGGCCTATAAACATGACCAGCTCACTCAACAGTTCTTATATTTAATTTGTCTTCAAAATAAATGCTGCCGTCTTGTGATAACAATTAAAACTCCTGCATATCACCCTGTACACACCAAAGCCATAGTGAAACACGGTGGTGGCGGCATCATGTTGTGAGGGGCCTTCTAAAAAAACAAAACAATACTACGCATTTATATTGAAACCTCTAAATCATTTCACTTTATCACTTAAATTTAAATAAACTACTTTTCTGGTTGTAATATGACAAGATGCGGATAAGTTCCAGTAGAGTGATCAGCTTTTTTAAGGCTGTGTTTATTCAGTCGGGATCTAGATCGACTTCACAGCATTTCAGGGGGGAAAAAAAAAAGAAAAATTCCCCAACTTGTTTACCATTTATCTTCATTAGAACCAAATCAATTTTCCTTCAAATTTTGTCAATGGATTTGGAACCTGATGCTATAACTTTGCAGTATCTGCCGATCTTTATTGTTTTCGGTTTTGGACAGAAGTTTCCTTTGATAACAAGCTTGGTGGCCAAAGATGAGGAGCGGCTCTGGACCCGATGCAGTCAAGGTTGCATATAGGAGGAGATAAGGTGAGCTTACAGGGTGAGTATTGGATGGTTACAGAGGAGGGAGGTAGTTACAAGGCTTATGATGATGGTTATAATATCCTGTGTGGGAAAGACACAGGATGGCAGGCAGATAACTAGGTCAAAGGAGGTACTTACAAGGCATTAAAGTTAAAAGGTGATGGCACAAGGGGAGGGGTTTAATAGTTACAAGGAAAGAAGCGCAGCTTAGAGGATTTATTTTTTTTTGTTTCGGAGCCAGACGGGAACTTTTACATGACCGGGGGATAATTACAAAGTTTAAGTGGCTGTAAGCTTCTGGGGTGGGGGGTGGTTTATTCAAAGAGATGTTTGGGTATAATGTTAGAGCAGGTTTCGGCGTCACTCCGGCACATAGGACACCTGCCAGACGATGATGTGGCTTCGCTCAGCTTTGCTCAAAGCAGGTTTCATCTGCGAAGCCCCACCGCTGCTGTCACCTTCCTCCGTCTCCTCATCCTCTCCGTCCCCTGCAGGAGGAAAAATAAAAACACGGAGCATGAGAAATTAATTTATACTTAAACTTCATTGGGATTATTCATTCAAATTAAATAAAAGCACAAACTAAGGGGTCAGAAATACTGATCTCTGTTTATTCACTGGATTGTTAATAGGCTGTTGGTAGTATAAGGTGCTGTGAAGTCACCAGCCGCCAAATTGGTACTCCCTAGTTAGACCAGTCGCAATGTAAACAATAAGTGCGCTACGGCATCGAACAACAATGATTTCCTCATTTTCGTGGAGCCTTAAGACATTTAAAATAAAGATAAAATAATCACTTTGACACACACTTGCTGTTTCATAGCATCAGTAGATTTCTGTAATTTATGGTAAAAAAAAAAAAAAGGCACTTCACATTGAATATTCCGTATGAAGTCTATACATCATATAATATAACATATTATACAAATCCATCATAACAAAATTAGTGCGTTAATGGAGCATAATAATACTGAAGGTTGGATATTAAGAATATTAAACACATACGCACACTATCAGATTATGTGCCAAAAATGGCTAAATTGATGATTTACATGTAATATACATGTATTGATTACGTTGTTATGGTAATTAAATTACATTGCAGGCATTTTAATGGATCGACTCCTTGAAAATGGGGATTACCAAGTGCTGCAGGTGACTTCAGTTTTTTCGGTCTATCAGGAATCCAGTGAACAAATAGAGATCAGTGGTCAGAACAGACACGATCACAGCAGAGGAGTAAAATACAGATGTTTGTAGGGAGTAATGGGATGGGAATCACTGCTCACCTATGCGGAAGTCGATGTAGCCCTCTCCTCCGCTCAGTACCAACACGTTTTGAACACTCTGCGTTTCCGTCTCTGTGGGCGCTGTGGAGCTCTGACCTTCAGACGGACTGTCCAGAACACTGCCGTTTAGGGTGGCTAAAACATTACCTGTCAAAAAAAAACAAAAAACAAAAACACAAGTTGGATATTTCAATCCTGCAAATGAAACAACTGAGTTTTCTTGATCTCCAGCACCATTTAAATGTGGAGTTCCCCAAGGCTCAAATCTGGACCCGGTTTTTTAGCAATATCTGTGCAACTTTTAAAGCTTCAAATGCTTTTCCTTTCTTTATTGTGTTTATCAATATAAAAATTTATTATTTTAGGCTTGTATCTGCTTTTGTAAATTATATTGAAAAAGGAAAAGAAAGCAAAACGGTTTCTTTTCCTTCCCTCACTTTCAAATCTATCAAATCTTTCTTTGAAATCTAAACAAAACTACCTAAAATACAGGTCTTCTCTCTTAATAAAGGCTTTAAATGGTATTACTGGTGACCTTGTTAAACCCAGCACCACCTTCATATGGAGGACCTCAAGGCTACAGTCTGGGCCCTGATTTGTTTTCATTATATGTACTGAATGTAGGTAGTGTGTTGTGTTATCTCACCGTGTTGCTAAATCTGCTATAATGCTACAGTCATCAGATTTTGGCAAGCTAAATAACCAAACAGAATTCTGGGGTTTTATTTGATTTCAATATCTTTAACCCTTAAAAACAAAAAACATAGCTTGTGGCAAAACAAACAGCTTTTCACTGTATTGCAACTTGTGCTTCTAAATGATACAATATTTTAATTTATCACAACAACATCCTGAAAAAGACAAAGCTACTGATTTTTCACCATTAGATACACATATTAGATAAACATAAAGCTGTAATCTATAGTTACCCGGTACGGAAACGAAGAACTTGACAGCATCGCGGTGTCCATGGAAACACAGCTGCGCTTGCGCCATGGAGCAGTAGGGGATAAAGCTGCCGGTGCTCTTCTCAGAGCCATCATCTCCGTACACATGGATCACACCACCGGATGACGTAGGAGACACCTTATTGGCTGACGGAGTGAAAACGTATTGATGAGAAGGAAAAGACGAGAAAATCATACATGCAGAGGAAACATTTTATATTGCCCCCAAAAATAAATTAATCAAAGACTTTGCATGCAGCAAATCCATTACACAGACACAATATTTATGAAAAATATTATAAACAGTCATGCAAAGCATGTTACCGATGAAAATATTGAAAGTAAAATCACAAAAAAAGTAGATAAACCTAAGAGAAAGCGTTGCAGGGAACATGAAGGTTTGACTGGGTGAGAACAGTTAGATCACAATAGCAGGAGGGAAGGAGCACTCCCACTTACCCCTCAGACCCAGGAGCTGTCCTCGGTGAAGGACCACCGCTTTGGGAGGTGGAGCAAGAGGGGAAGGGAGAAGGGGACAGTAACAGAAAAAGTTATGGCTCAGACTGGGAGAAGAAGGTAAAACCACCAGAGAGAGAGAGAAGGTGAAAGAAGGTGCTTGGATAGAAGGGGAGAAGATCAGAGGAAGAGCATAAAAAGCTCTAATAGAAGACAAGAGTCTGGGTAGTTTTCAAGGAAATCTCCAAAAGAAGTGGGAGCTTTAAGATTTAGGGTTTCCGTTAAACTGTTCAGCCTTTTTTATTATCTTTTTTTTTGTGTGTTTTATGTCGTATTAAAGTCACCACTGATCATTCATAGTAACTGGTTGGTAAAGCTAATAAAAAAGAAAAATAATCCTCACAATCTGTGATCATAGTTTCCTCTGTGGTTTCACTTTTTGTGGTGAGTTTCCTCTTGTATGGAGGCACTTACTCTCTGTCAGTGGGATGGAGATGATCACACCGTTTCCAGTCCCCACCCAGAGGCGGTTTCCTCCGATCAGCAGGGCTGTGATCCGCACAAAGGAGAAACCAAGCTTCCCCGTACCTGCAACCCACAACCAGAGACAGGACTCTGAAACTCAACATTAAATAGCTCTTCTAACGATACCTTCATGAGCAAAACCTCCATAAACCTGTTGTTTTTTTTTGGGTCCGTTAAAACTCACCCAACATTTTGCTGACATATGGCTCAATGTCCACATCCTGGAGGTGCTGGTGCGTGTGGGCATGGTACAGCCGCAAGGTGGAATCCAGCCGGATCGAAACCCACACACCATCACCGATCCAGGCCAGCTGCCGTACCTGGCTCTCCCTCCGGGGGTGGGCGTCGAAGGACTTCTACAGAGTAGCGGCGGAGAATTATTGGCGAACAAAATCAATAAAGTGGGCTGAAAATATTGAACAGAGGGACGTCATGCCGCTCACCTCAATCTGCATGCTTTTGGGCTGAATGACGTGAATCTTATTCTTGTAGCCGCACCACACCTTATCGTGGACGACTGCCATGCAGCGGATGGAGTGATGAGGCCGGCCGAGGTCCATCAGGTGGTAGTTGGATAAATCCCACTGGCCATCTGGGGAAGAAAAGCAGAAGGATCCTACCAGAACAGAGGAAAGGGCCTAGCAGTGGTCACACCAACATGAAACAGTAACCTAGATACCTTCGGATCTGTGGAATATGGCCAAGGTCCCATCGGCGAGGGCGACCAGCACGCGACCTTTTACGTGCCTGAAACAGACATCAGGGCCGAACATTAAATAGAGGCCATGCAGCTGTGATAAAATGGACGTGCAGGGATGTTTGTCTTACACCAGACTGAGAACAGAGTCCTTGAGTTTGATGGAGTGGAGACATTTCTTCCAATTTCCCACAGCTGAGTGGACATAAAGCCTGGGAGGAAAACAAGGAAGTTACTTCTGGTTTCTAAACCTAATCTATTTATGTCATTTTTTTTTTTTTTTTTATAAGTAAAGATATTTCGTAAAACAAATAAAACTTGATTATTAAGTCGTTACCAGCCATTCTGGGCCCCGAGCCACATGGTGGGGGCCACGCTGGTGTAGTTTTTGGTGTCCTCCCCTCCATCCTCAGCCTCTGCTGGCTGAGAGGATTCCTCTTTGGACTGACCCGAGCTCCTGAGTGGACAGACACCATTCATAGCCTTAACCAGTGTGGTGCTTCTGATCTGTCTGTTTAGGGCCAGGTTTGACCTCCTACCTGTCATCTGTAGGACGGGGCTGCGGGTCGGTGAAGACGTGCTCCGTGAAGGGCCCCGGGCGTCCCGATGCGATCCCCGTGTCGTTGGCGGTGGACTCAGAGACCTCGGTGGCCTCTGTGGCTTCCTCGGCAGACTGGGCGGGGTGAATCTTCCCATTCATGGGAGGTGCAGTGGGGGCTACAGGACAGCACCAAAGAAATGAAATGATTTAGATGGATGTTCGTATTTAAGGACGGCCTCATCTAAGTCCGCACTGATGAGCCCACCTTGCCCTTTGTCTACTATGGGTGTGTCGGTACGTGAGCAACAGTTGCTACGGGCAACACTGCAGTTTGTGGCACAGCCAACCAACGTGATGCCAGCCAACATGCCTTCCATCCCATCCATGTCCTCTCCACCGCCTCCGTCACCCGGATCCAACACGATTTCTCCTGCTGGGTAATCACTCTCACTTGCAGCTGGATAAAAATAAACAATCAATACGAGCAGCAAGAAAAGGATCCCAACAAGAGCAAATATTTTGGCCGTAAACGGCCTTTTTCATCTGACCTGGCACGCTAGAGATGCAGAGGACGTGAGCGTTGCAGACGTTGAACTGGTCGACCAGAGAGCCAGGCTGGTTGGCGTCGATGATGACTACCTTGCTGGCAGAGTGGGTGCTGGTGAGGATCCACACTCGACTGTTCATGCTGTCTGTCTCCTGGAGTTCCTTAGACTAAAAGAGAGGTGAATAAACCAGAAACAAAGGCTAACTTAGTACTCAGTAAGATTCCAATCTATTGTTAAGATTAAAAAATAAATATGATCTCTGATATTAAAGGTAAATTTCCTTCCTCAACCAGAGCAGACCCTGAGCCGCTGGTGAAAATCTCTGATCAGCGTCCAGCGACATGTTCAAATCACTGATCTCTATTTATTCACTGGATTGCTGATTGCCCGAAAAGAGTGAAGCTACCGGCCGCCATATTGGTACTCCCCACTCTCACCAAACGCGCAGTAAAAATGCCTACGTGTGTAGAATCTGACTGCAAACACAAGCAGTTTTCCAGCTGTGGGAAGACGTTTCACAGGTAATTTCATAGTCAGTGGATGAACTAACCAAGATAATCCATATATACGCCGATGTATCCTATAGTATAGTATGTAGCGTAACATTAGTCTAGCTTTCTCAGACCGACTCGAAGAAATTGTCTTAGTAAGCCATCAACGTCATGTCTAATGTTAGAAACAAGAAAGTGGAGTAAATAGAAAGTAATTAACTGTAAAAAAATAAATGTAATAATTATTTAAGCGGATGACGCTGTCGTTTTTGTAGTGTTTGTTGTATTTCTCATTTTTAAAAAGTCGTGTGCTGAAATACACTATATTGCCAAAAGTATTTGCTCACCCATCCAAATTATTGGAATCAGGTGATCCAATCACTTCCATGGCCACAGGTGTATAAATTCAAGCACCTAGGCATGCAGACTGTTTTTACAAACATTTGTGAAAGAATGGGTCGCTCTCAGGAGCTCAGTGAATTCCAGCGTGGAACTGTGATAGGATGCCACCTGTGCAACAAATCCAGTCGTGAAATTTCCTCGCTCCTAAATATTCCACAGTCAACTGTCAGCTGTATTATAAGAAAATGGAAGTGTTTGGGAACGACAGCAACTCAGCCACGAAGAGGTAGGCCACGTAAACTGACGGAGCGGGGTCAGCGGATGCTGACGCGCATAGTGCGAAGAGGTCGCCAACTTTCTGCAGAGTCAATCACTACAGACCTCCAAACTTCATGTGGCCTTCAGATTAGCTCAAGAACAGTGCGCAGAGAGCTTCATGGAATGGGTTTCCATGGTCGAGCAGCTGCATCCAAGCCATACATCACCAAGTGCAATGCAAAGCGTCGGATGCGGTGGTGTAAAGCACGCCGCCACTGGACTCTAGAGCAGTGGAGACGCGTTCTCTGGAGTGACGAATCGCGCTTCTCCATCTGGCAATCTGATGGACGGGTCTGGGTTTGGCGGTTGCCAGGAGAACGGTACTTGTCTGACTGCATTGTGCCAAGTGTAAAGTTTGGTGGAGGGGGGATTATGGTGTGAGGTTGTTTTTCAGGAGCTGGGCTTGGCCCCTTAGTTCCAGTGAAAGGAACTCTGAATGCTTCAGCATACCAAGACATTTTGGACAATTCCATGCTCCCAACTTTGTGGGAACAGTTTGGAGCTGGCCCCTTCCTCTTCCAACATGACTGTGCACCAGTGCACAAAGCAAGGTCCATAAAGACATGGATGACAGAGTCTGGTGTGGATGAATTTGACTGGCCTGCACAGAGTCCTGACCTCAACCCGATAGAACACCTTTGGGATGAATTAGAGCGGAGACTGAGAGCCAGGCCTTCTCGTCCAACATCAGTGTGCGACCTCACAAATGCGCTTCTGGAAGAATGGTCAAAAATTCCCATAAACACACTCCTAAACCTTGTGGACAGCCTTCCCAGAAGAGTTGAAGCTGTTCTAGCTGCAAAGGGTGGACCGACGTCATATTGAACCCTATGGATTAGGAACGGGATGTCACTTAAGCTCATATGTTGATTCAAGGCAGGTGAGCAAATACTTTTGGCAATATAGTGTATATTGCATGTTATATTGACGGAAAAAACGCAACTCAAACATTTTTAAAGACACAACTAAAATGTATATGGCATCATTCACGTATAATTTGTAAATAGGAAAATACTGTAGCATTAACAGACATGTACTTGTATTTCAGTCTTGATGTAAGATCTTAAACTCATATGTAATTACTATAACAATGTAATAAATAAATGCATATTAGATGTCCATCATCAATTTAGCACTTTTGGCACACCTGTATTATTATGCTCCATTAACACATTAGTTTTGTTGTGATGGATTTGTATAATATGATATATTACATGAATAGAGACTTCAGTGACCTCATAAAAACTATGCAATGTAATGTGCCTTTTTCTTTATTATAAGTTAAAGTAATCTACTAATGCTATGGAACACCAAGTGTGTGTCAAAATGATGAATTTATCTTTATTTTAAAAGTCTTAAGTCCACCTGAAAAAGACAACATCATCGTTGTTTGATGTTGTAGCGCACATATTGTTTAAATTGCGACCGGTCTAACAACGGAGTACCAATATGGTGGCTTCACTTTAACTTCTTACTGCCAAAGGGCAATCAGCAATCCAATGAATAAATAGAGACCAGTGGTTCAAACTAGAGATGTTGGTCACCTTTCTCTTCTCAGGGGATGTGTTCTTCTTGTCCTCCTCAGTCTGCAGAGGGTCACTGCTGCCTGACAGTGCTTTGAGAGGCACCGCCTCCTGGCTGCTGACTCTCCATCCTGTCAGGTCCACTCCTGCTGCACACCACAGCTACAAGCACAGAAGACAAGGAGCACAACCGACAGCTCGGGTAAACATTTCAGGACATAATCAGGTATAAACAGATATAATGAGGTAAAATAGTTGAGTAAATAAGCACTTTTGACACATCTGGAGGCTTCTCACCTTCCTGTTGGGGTCTTTCTCCACAAGAGGGCGACAGTAAACTGGGACAGGAACATTCTTCATGCGGTTTTCATCCTTCTCATTGGTCTGCAGGGAAAAATGTTGAGCAGTCAGGAGAAAAGCAGAAAATTTTAATTAAATATGGTCCAGTTTGTTAAAAGCATCTTGAATTTCTCTGAACACCAATAAAAATATATATACATGAAAAAAAAAAATCCATGTTTATCTGATAATGCAGGCTAACCATGACCAGTTTGACTCTGGAATTAAAGAAACGTTTATTGCTGTTACTTTCTTAAAGAATAACAGATCTATCCATAATATGTTACAAAGCATTACAGTCTAAACTATGTGTGAAAACAAAAATTATTTCTAAATTTTCTGATGAGACAATTTAAGTCCACTGGGTTTTATTTTTTCTTAGGATTAGTGTAAGTAAGGGAAGGTTAAATAATCCAAACTAACCATTGGATCACAGAGTATTAGTACAGTCTGATTACTATAAAACATATAAAAGAAGTTTATTACAGAAAATAAGATGAAGCATAGATGCTAAGAACTGTTGAGTAGGGCAGGTTGAGACAGACAGAGGAGGTTATAATAAGGCAGCAAAGGGTAAGAATGTCTGCAGGGTTCATCATAGCATAGGTTCCTGTTTTAGCCATCCACATCATGCCTACAAATAAAATAAAAAATGTTGCTTTATTAAATTTCATGCATTTCCTGAACTAAACTTGACCACAATTTCTACATTTGGAATTTATTTTTTCAGGTAATCATTAAAAATGTATTTTTCTATCAGCTTCTGCAGGGGTTAGAGATTCAGGTGGAAGGTTAACAGGAAGGGGAAGCCATGAAGGCGCATGCTGGCTCTCTGTCGGTCTCACTTGCCTGTTGTCTTTTCAGCGGGCTGTCCTTAACGCCGTCCGTCTGACCACCAGTCTGTGGGAGACCAGAGTTAGAGCCACCTGCCTACCAACACGCCGCGCCGTCGGCCTCTTCGGCCAACCTCGGTTGGTCAGCAGTACTTTAAGGTGCACTTGAAGCCAAACGTTTATATACACTGTATAAAAACACCTTTTCTATGTCTGACATTAAATCAGATTAAATGTTTCCGTTTTAGGTCAGTTTGACTTTAGGAAAATCCTTTTTTATTTTTTATCTGGCCAGACTAATGAGATTTACAAATTTGTTCAGTATTTACATACATTTTTGTTGCTTTTGGCAGATTTATCTTTAAATTTGTGGGATACAGTATTCTGGTTCCTTTAACAAGCATCTCATCATAATTTGGTCCATTTCTCCTGGCAGAACTGAATGCCACTCCTCTTAATCCATCGTGTTAGTAATTGGACGCCATGCTTAGTGTCAGTGTCCATTGAATAGCCCCTCAGCTCAAGCTTAAACTCCATGGATGTTGTGTTAGTGTTTCCACAGAATGTTCTTACTTCATGGTGTCATACTTAAATTTTTCTCCTGCAGCTGTCGATTTACACAACATGATGCTGCCACCGCCGTGCTTCTTAGCCTCTGTCTTTCTGTCTTAGCCTCAGAACATTTGCTGCGTTTTTGATGCAAATGTATGCACAACTGTTTCGATATTATAAACTGTTTCGGTATATATAAACAAAACATTTTCTGAATTGTATTGTTCCTATTGAATAACTGTATTTCTTATTTAACTCATTAAAAATAAAACATGCTGCTCAATAATCTTATAACCACTTCCGGTGTTTTATATATCTTTTTTCCAGCTCCAACATTCGGTAGTTGATGAGGGGACCTTTTTGATGCAAAAAAAAAGCATTTCCAATACACTTTAATGAATCCTATCAACTTCGATACAGCCAGAAAATCACCTTATTCTAAAGTATAAAAAAAAAAAAAAAACAATAACAAAAAAACCATTAGAAACAACCCCAAAAAAGACAACGGAGAGGCATTTTTTTTCTTAATTTGTTTGCTTCTGTTTAGCAAATTTATGGGTCTGATTACAATTTCAGAAAATAGCAAATGGGAGCACAGCTTGTGTGTTCAAACGCTTTCATTTTAGTTTCTATTTATCAAAGGGTAAAAGTCCCCTGAAGCATTACTGATGGCTTCTTTCACATCGAGTGGCTTTATTGCATGATTAATTTCTTTCTGAATGTTGAAACTATTTGAACAGATTTGTTTTATCATTCTAAAACAGATTTTGCTCCAAAACATTCATCTTTGACACAGGGAAGCAGTCTTTTACTTAAAAATGGAAGAGCTGGACATTCTGTTTATAATAATGTAAAGTTCAACAGATGAGGAAGGCACCAGCTGCCGGAGCGATTTAAAGGTAAAACCTTCTCTTGTCGATATCATTAACCTTTTTCCCATGATGTTACACATCTATATGTGTACCTCCAGTTAAATCAGATGTTAGTTAACCAATCTGAGGCTCTCCAAAGTTATGACATCATCATCTTGGCTTTCTCTAATAGTTTAAAGATGTCAGATCTTAACTGACCTGAAACAGGAAAGCTTTTGTTCCTTTTAAAATCCAGGCAGTGAGATAAAAAGAGCCAATGTGTTATTTTATATAGTGTATTTATAAGACCTCATTTGTTTGTCAGCTGATATAAAACTGTCAAACTGATCATAAAATTGTTCTGACTATCAGAACCGCACAATGATTTTGTTTGTTTATCTCAGTTCAAGATAACTTACATATGAAACGTTTTTTTTTTTTTACAAATGTCTTTTCTGTTAAGTGTTAAAAATAAGTCACTTTAAGGTCTGTCATTCATGCCTTTTCCAAAGGATGTTTAAAGGGTTTAAACATCCTTACATTTCCTTAAAATCCCATAGATTTTAAATTGACTTACTAAAGCATTGTGAGAGTTTCTTTTCATTCAGGTTGCTTTCATTTTAGTTGAAGTTGGAATTATTTATTGCAACATTTTATTGTGATCTTCAGGCTCTCTTGAGGTCATTGGCTTCTTTCACTGAGCTCAATCTCAGGAACATCAAAAGGTTCAATCTTCTCCAAGCAATTCAGCAATTTGGAGAATCCAGAGAGAACAATGTATAAGAGAGAGTCCTCTTAGCACAAAGACCAAGGACCCCTATAGCCCACTACACAGGTTTTCGATAAAAAATATGTCTGAGGACTGAGGTGACCCAGAAGGAAAGGTTGTTTGTTTTTTAACCAAACACTGAAAACTTTGTGATGCACAAAGACAGGACTGAAAAAAACAGCCAGACCTAAAGAACGCCAGATCATAGATCATAAGATATTTGGACTAATTGGACAAGAGGTATAAAGGTCCCCTAAAAGTTCCAGTTGTCATATATAGAGCTAAAGAGGGTTTTTTTGGGGGTGGTTGGGGCTCTGTGTGCTTTTTACCTGTTTGAGGCGAGATGGCACACTCCAGCCACAGGCCTGCATGATGCCGTCATCGCGGCGCATGTGCTCACGCACCGCCCTGTACTGTTCACGCCGCTGCTCACGGCGCGCCATCAGCGCCGAGTCACTGAGGAGAGACGCAACACCGTTACTGGCCAGTCTGGAAGCAACAGGGGGGAAGAGAAGGAGGAAAAGGCGAAGCGTTAGCAGCCTGGCCAGCCAGCAGCAAGGATAAGAGAGAAGAATGAGGATGAGGAGGAAGACAGAGGAAGCAAAAGCAAAGCTCTGTTTTCTCTTTAGGAAAATTAATCAGTGGTCTTTTTGGTGAAGAAAATATCTTTAACTTTAGGTCAATAAGATGAATGGTTTGATTTTCTGCTGCAGTAATTAGAAGGAACCAATAATCAACCCCACAGTGCAGCAGCTCTGCTGGAAGCTCTCTGATCTGCAGGCTGCTAGAAGCGAGCAAGCATCCAAGCAGAGTAAGACCAGGACAGGCATGGATGTGCGCTGTGGAGTATGATTAAAGCTTGGATCTGGCCGCTTTCGCTCACTCTTCAGGGAAGAACTCCAGCGTCCGGTTAGAGGTGGAGATCTGGCACATGGTGTGGCTGCGCCGCTGATTGAACGCAGGTGAGGGCGACTTGTAGTGGATGTTGACGCTGGAGTACGGCCGCTTAACGGGCGGAGGACTGGAGGAGGAGCTGAAGAGCCGGGCAAAGCTTTGGGACAGAGAAGGGAGAGCTTTGTTATCAAATAATCATCTGCTTTAGAAGATATTGTAGAATAAAAGTTGAATCTTACAACTGCCAGATGGTGGACTTCTTTTTCTCCTGGATTGGAGGGCTCTCCCTGGATGCCCTAAGAGGAGAGACAGAAACAACAAACTCCATCATTGGAATGGTAAAAAAATGGGAAAATTAAATATAAGACACCAACAAAAAAGGATTAAAAAGAAGAAAGAAATCCAATGTTTTTATTTTTTACACTTAGACTGAAATTCATTTAAAAGGCTAATTCAGTAAGAAACATTTGGGACGTTTTTATTTGTTTATCCAAAGATTCTTCTTTGAAAGGGTACCTGATCATCTCCGTCCATCGCACAGCCTCCTGGAGCTCCATCAGCCTCTCTTTGTACTGGTTCCTCTCCATCAGCACACGAGCCATCTCCACCCGAGTGAAGCGGCGCCGCTGGGTCATCGCCATGTCCCCGTCCTGCATGGGGGACGAAAACTGAGCAAAAATGAGAAGAGTCCACTTTTACTCACTAATTTTGACAAAAAGAAATCAAACATGATTTATTAGAATAGATTCAATTTTCTACAAATAAAGCCTAAACATTTGATGGCAATTCCAAGTAAAGTGCTTCCAGTGGCCTCCACACACTGACAAGGATGTGTCAGCTACCTTCTTCCTAGTAATAATTCACCACTTTCAGTTTCCTCGGGTGCAAATATCATGTGACATAGAGGCCTGGAAGTTAAAAGGCCTTTTCAAACCTACCATTAAACTATAAATATCTAAATGATGTTACATTTAGATAAGGCTGTGATTATTTTACACTGGACCAAACACTCAGGTGTAAAACAGAGCTTCTTGTGTTTATAGGTAAGTTGGACTTTTGATTCTGCAGGAATCCAAATGCAAAATAATGGTGCTTTCAGACTGGCCGCGGTGATTTCCACCAGCCCCGCAGAGGGTTCACCGCTCAGCTATGGGATGCAGAGTGTTTACACCCTGGACCGCATCATCAAATAGGAGGAGCTTCAGCTGCGTGAAGCTGATACCCCTGAAAAAACTCAGCAAATAAACTGAATACTTTTTGCTGTTCATAAAAAAATATATATATATATATATATAAAAAAGATCCTTTTTGCTACTGTAGTTTCAGAGCAATTAAAGATGATTTTTTTAGGTCATCCAGAGGTCAGCTATCCCCCCATTAAGCTCCGAATTGAATCAAAATGATCTAGCCTACTTTTTTAGTGCTAAATCATTTCTGCAGGTAAAACTATTATTTGTGCTGCTGTTTTTTTTCTTCTGAATTTGTCCTGTTTAACATCTTTCGGACTGCTTGTCTCTTCTTGCTCTGCTCTTGTTCTGCTACTTACAGCGAACAGATGCACCTGCTTTTCTAATTACCCCCATTCTCACAGCTGTTATCTTGCATATTTACACCTGCCTGTCTCTCTGCCAGTCTCCACCAGATTGTCTCCAGTAATCAGTGGCTGTGTGCTCCCCCAGCCTTCCTGTGCTCATTCCATCCCGACTGGCCTGGTTCTAGTCCGTCAGCCATTATTCAGTCAGCTCAAAGCCTGCTTCCAATCTGTTCAGTCATCATCTCCCTTCTCAAGTCTGCAATCAGCTAGTTTATCTGTCTTTTGAAGTCTGCTACCAGCTTTATGAACATTCATAACTAACTGCTTCAAATAAAGCTTTTTCAAACACACACTTGTGTCTGGCTGAATCCTGGGTTCCCATAGGACCGAACTTTAGTTTCTTCATTTGTTAATAAAGGACAGGACAACGGGTACAGGTAGGTTTACTCACATCATCCGCTACTTCGTCTTTGGAGTCTCGAGATGCCTCTGCTCTTAACCTGGAGTCACAAGCAGCAAATCACCCAGTTAAACATTAAAAATCTCCTTTAATTCAATAACTATAGTGGGAACTTTTAAACTTAGAGCATCACTTAGATGTTTCTACATTAAGGCTAGCCGGGGTGAGTTATGTTCAATTAGAAGATCCACCATACTAGAAAGTCAGGAACTATTATCAATACTGTAATTTCTATTTGATATACTGTTGTAGGCTTAAGTTTTAACCTTTTGAACTTTTAAAACACTAATTTTTAGCCCTTTGGCCTTTCATTTTAATATAAGAACATGAAATAAAAAGAGAAATGGGAAAGAAAGAATCCTTGAAATAAATGTATGTTTACAAAATAAAGGTCTAAATAAACTAAATAGAAACAAAAATGGTTTAATATAAAATAAACAAATGAAAAATATTGTCAAATAAATACATTTGAAGTTAACAAATGTAAAAAGTAAAAAATTCTCTCATTTTATTTCTTTGGGACATTTATTTATTTGATAATATATATAATATATATATATATATATTATTAATTTAGTAACAACATTTATACATTTATCTCCTTATTTAATTTGAACAAATGGCACTCGACAGGTAAACATAACGTGAAATGCAGGAATTTCAAAGGGAAGAAAAAGCAAAATTAACAATAAAATAAGAAAATGCTTTAGCCATAAAAAATATCTAAAATCGTTTAAGAACGATAAGTAGAAAAAAACAAAAACAAGTTCTAGTTTGGCTGAAATTCGTTTTTAGTTTGATTTAATTTTAAACACTTCACATCAACACTTATTTGCTCTCAGGTTCTAAACACATTTTATCTTTAATTTTTATAAAAGCTTCATTTATTTCCAGATGAAGGAAAATATGGTCAAACAGAGAGGTTCACATTTCAGCATCTGACTCCCCTCCTGTTCTATTCGTATACATCAAGAGAAACAGGTTTTCAACACTATCGTGTTTCTGTTGCTTTAACAAACCTACTATCTGCCACTCCCTGAGTTTTAGATTACAGGTGAACGGGTTCTTTCTGTAAACACACTGAGAAGCTTTCTCCTCCTCAGCTTTATCACCTGGGACATCCTTCAGAGCAAAACTAAGACATCTTCCTTTCACCTTTTGATTTCTTCTTCCAGCTCCTTTATTCTGGCGTCCACTTTGTTCTTGGACTGCCGCACTGCCTCCAGCTCCTCTTTCAGCACCTCCTGCTCACTTGACAGCTCATCCACTTTGGCAATAAGGTCGTTTTTCACAATGTTGAGAGCATTTCTGTTAAACAACAGAAAGACAAGAAAGGTATCAAAACAAGCAGAGTGTGTGCTTTCATTTTCTAATTATCTCTCATTAGTAGTACTTTTATTTCAGCAATTCAATTCAAAAGCTAAAATCCATTAATTCTAATGACTATTCCCATATAAAGTGACATATTTCAAGTGCTTATTTCAGTTAATTTTATTTATTGTAGCATCAAATACTCTGAAATTTAATTATTCCTGTTGCTTGTAGTTTCTTTTTCCACCACACTTTTTCCTTCCACTCAACTTTCATTTGAACCCCTAACTTTGAAGGGTCAGCTTCTTCAGCAAAGATCTTCTGTGAATTATTTGTCTTAATGTTTTATTGGACCAACATTATTTTTGAATAAGGGTTTTAATAGCTTTAAGTAATATTTATCAAAACAAACAGGAATACATTGAGGTAATACAGTTTCTGTTTCATTTACTGATTTTAGTCCAATAGTAAGCTTTGGATTTTTTTTTTTTTAACCATCTCCCTCATCTTACCTGGATGAAGATCAACTTGGATCCATCTCCAACTTTAATCCACAGTTTATAAATATTTGGCAAATGCATGGAAGTACCTATTTCCTTTCAGTAATAAGCAAATATAGAAAGATTGAAACTGATCTTGAAAGGCATTTTCTTATTTCTTTCCATATATGAACACTGATAATGAGAAATGTGGCCCAACATATCTGTACCCCAGGGAAACAGCATGTCTGGGTTGAAGAATGAAAGGTTTCTGTACCAAAAATAACCTAGAAGATGAAGTTTATGAATATGAAAAAGTTTCTGGCACATTTATATGTGATTAACAGGAGAAAAAGTAACACTGATTGTGACACACTTATACCTTGAAGACAACCTGAAAACAGATGTTTTTATCTGGGATTTTTCCAACCGCAGATTAAATGTTTCTAGAATAACGTTAGAATTTCTGTAATAAAAATCTGTGAGATTACACTACAACAAAACAAGGTGGATTTATTGCAAGTGTTCTTCCAGGTTTATAACTGGGGAGGCTGCTGCATCTATCTCACATAAAACATGTTAAGAAATATAGGAATAACAGAAATCTATTAGCAAACTCCTCCTTACTTGGTCTCTAAAAGCTGTTTGTTCTCCGTCAGAAGATTTTCCACCTCCTTTCCCATCCCTGAAACACAAATATGTATTTAAATACAAAATACAGCAATACACAATAAAATGTTAAATCTCTTAAGCAGAGCATCAAAGGTGACTTGTTAGCATATTTAGCTGTTTAAGTTGATTCTAATAATAAGAAGTATAATAATAATAATAGAAAGGCCTCTACAGCAAAGCTACTGAATATTCTAGAATGCACACTAAAACAATTTGCCATACTTTCTTGCTAATCAACATCCTAAGCAGTCACAGCAAAAACAAGAAAGACAAATTGTTTTTTTTTAACTCTAACAGTTATGTAATTATCCAGCTCTCAGCCTCACATTAATTTAGTATATCCAGCAGAAAAAAAGATAAAAGCAGCAAGCAGTGTAACAAAAATGCCAGCACACTAAAGTTTTCAGCAAAAAGGACCGTCATGAAGGTAGAAAACAAACCTTTCTTAGATTAAAGACAAAAAAAGCATATCTAGAAAAAAAAAAAAAAAATAATATGCAGGGCAATATTTAAATACGCTAAGTAAATGTAAGATGTGAAATGTGAGCATTAGCATCGACATCTTACCGAAGAAATCATCACGGACTGGAAGCAAAAGAAGAAAAGAAAACAGGAGAAAGGGATTTGAGAGAGAGAAAAGATTAAGATCGGGAATGGAAAAAGGAAAGGATTTAAAGGAAGCATATATTGATTTTAAGTGGAAAAGCTGCTCAAATAGGACTCTTTTTCGATTCAAATTAAAACGACTAATCACATAAAGCCATTTGGACACCAAACCGGTGCTAAAGCGATGCACTTCATATTCAGATACACTCATTCATTGAGTCTATCTGAATTGAGTGGCGCAGCTTCATCCCCCTTATGGAGGCCAGAGCCTGTATGAGTTTATGGATTAACTTTAGACCATAAACCTAACTGGACATCATTTCATTTCATTTACATTTTCACACGTATTTCACTGCGATGAAATAAGAGTTCACTAACGAAAGGAAACTTTACTGCACTGGAAAAACCATCCACAAATAAGTACAAATGTCTTAAATCAAGTGTATTTACTCTTAATTTGAGTAGGTAAATGAGATAGTTTGCCAATAGAATGAGTATATTTACTCTTAAAAAAGATAATTAGAATATATATGCACTTGAAATAAGACAATGAAATTGTGTTTTCTTATTTTAAATGTAAATTGTCTTGTTCCATTGGCAAAATGTCCCTTTTATCTCCTCTATCCAAGGAAAATGCACTTATTTAAGAAAAATAATGACTTATCTAGATCTTGATTTTGACAACATTGTTACTTTTTGCAACTAAAAATCTAAAAAGTATAGTACACTTGCATATTTAGCCCCTTTTATTCTGTTACTTTCGAATAAAATCTGACAGAATGACAGTTTTGTATCAAAACATAAGAACATTTTTTACTGTTTAGATAATATTATCAAGCAGTTTTCTATTATGATTTTGAATCTGATACACATACTTCAGCAGAAACGTAGAATAGCTACTCAATTAAGCAGACATTAGTTATTTTTACTGCTTATTTTCAGATATGTAAACCTTTGAGCCATACAGAAACTAATATCAGCTGGCCATTGTATGGTTATGTAGATCCTGCAGTAGACTAACAAGGAAACATGCTCGCTTAGCTGCCAAATGTTTTAAAAACATATGACCTAAAAATAATTTTTAGTATGGTGTATGTTTAATTTCCCAAACCTAGGCAAACATTTAAAGGTGTTGATTAGTAAATAGTAGCAACATGTGGGGTTGTGCTGACTTATTATATGTGTACAGTTTTGCCAGTATTGTCAAACATTATGATTACATTTAGTGGGAGCTAAACAGTTGGATAAAGGATTCATTTATAACTCAACAAACTTCTAAATGTGAAGTTTAGTTTATAATTCTAATACATTCTAAATTTAAATTAAGATATTTCTATGAAATTTTACACTTTGCAATTTCAGGATAGGTCTCATTCTTGGATCCAGTTATTTTGAAAATCATAAAAATAAAACCCCCACACACAGAAATAAAAAAGGTTAGCGATGTTCAATTAGGACAGTTTGAGTAGCTTGATCAGGTTGTATATTATAACTGATTTGCTTTATAAAAGTATAGATGCCTTTTCAAATAGAGTAATATCTCCTCTTTGAAGGTTTAGCTTTTAAAATGAAGAAAAATCAAAGCACAAATGACAGGATACACACCTGAAAACTCGCCTATGGGTGCCACCAGCAGAAGCACATGAAAGGAAGAAACGAAAAAAAAAGAAATGAGTGAAAGGTTAACACGGGTCAGATTTCTCCTTTATTCCCACTGCACAAAATTCAAACAGGTTAAATGAATCCCAAAGCTCTACCACAAAAAAACCTCAGGAAGAAAAGCTGAACAAAAACGACTTTTATTGTAAAAATTCAATATCAAGATTAATAATGAAGGTAAATAATAATTGTGATGAAAGAGAGAGATTGCAAAGTATGTAATAAATTAAACAAACCTGACTCTGCTTCAAAAAAAGTGTGATAAAAGAAGCAAGTTGGAATAGTCATAAAATAAATGATGAAAATAAGCGCTGAATGAGTGGGCTGCTGAATTTCACTTTTTTTTTATTGCAAAGCAGAGATGAACTGCTGCAGTGTGCCATGCAGAGAAAGGCCCACTCCCAGCCTCAAGAGGAGAATATATCTCTGCACCTCTACATCCAGGAAAACCACTGTCACTGTCTTGTCACTACATGTTTAAGTTAAGAGTTTAATATTCAGTTAAAATTAAGACTTTTGACCATACCTAGCAGCTCAGCACCTGCGTCGACGTCCCCGATGATGTCCGACTTGGCGTCTTTGATCTCATGGTACAGTGAGTCAGTGTTGATGCCGAAGGCCTCGTTAACAATCCCCTGAGAAGGACTGACATAAAGCAATTTTTTTTTTAAAACAACACCTTCTTCTTGGCTGTATATATATATATTTATATATTTATATATTTATATATATATATATATATATATATATATATATATATATATATATATATATATATATATATATATATATATATATATATATATATATATATCTTCAGATTTCATTCAATGATCCAAGAAAGTTTTTTGAGAAATATCTCAGAAGAAGCAATCAGTTAATGATTGTTGATTATGTTAATTTAGGACCTGAGAGGAAAATTGCTGTGATACAAACATCTAAATACCGTATTCATCAGTTTGTTTCTTTTCATATCCAAATTAAGTTTTTGAAAAAGCTGCAATAAATAAAAGATGTAATAAAGATCTTGAAAATACATTAAACTAGTTTTACACCATATATACCATGTTTCCACACAGGATGAATGGGTTTTAGTTATTACGGAGAAAAATTAACAAAGACATTAAAAATTTATGTAAGATTAAAACAAGGATAATAATGAAGTGTAATAATAATAAATAAAGTAAAACAATTAGGAGTACATCACGGGACAAGGACTCATCCTATGAATTGTTGTCAGAATCATCTTTTTCTTCCTTTTTTATATTGCTTATTTTTAACAATATGTTTTAAACATTCTTATATTAAATATATTGTTATTATTAACTACTACAATCAAGATATTCCACAAGCCCAATGTTTGGGGTGCCTCCATCAGGCACACAAATAATACTGAGAAGAAAATATTTTTAACAGAAGGACGCCATAAAGAGCTTGGTAAAATCTTATGTCAAAGTTATCAAGTTATGTTTTTAAAGTCTTTAGATATTGAAAAATAACTTTGGCAAACTTTGCAAAAAGCTTTTTAAGAATCACCTTTTACAACAATTTATAAACCATTCCTCAACCTTTGTTGTGGCTGCATCCTCTGTTCTTTGAATATAGTTGTCACCATATTTTGTGTAAAAATCCCTTTTCTTGTTCTGCTTTAAGACAATCATATGCAGGTTTGTCATTACGTGGGGCAATGGTAAATGTAACAATGAATACAGCTTTGCTTTCTTTACATTAAGAATGGTGCCTGTGACTAATGTTTGGAGTTTTTTCTAATTGTACCCTTTCAAATGAGGGACAATTTGTAGGAGGGCAGGACAAAAGGCAAAAATGCGACAAAATCCTTTACAAATCAGGACATCTGGTTGCCTGAGCTTGAAGTTTCTAAAAATATATTATTACTCATGTTTTGTTGCATATTTGTATAGCATCAAGGGGAATACCAGCACCTATTTATTTCTACTTAAAGCACTGATCCAAACCACTAATGGTTGTCCTGTTGGCAGATTATCCCACCTGAGCAGCAGTGCCTCCATAGTTACAGTGACCGTCATGGCTGCTCACATTGCCTGGCCTGTAATGTTACATAGACAGGTCTACAGCTGTATTTTAGCAGTGCTCTGTGTTAATAATGTCATATGACATAGCCTACACCTGTTCTGTCAAAGGTCTTAATTGCAGTTTCTGTTCACTGATGCTGATGATGCAGACTTTACACGCCTGATTTTGACCTAAACTGAGCTGATTTATCATATTTCTTTTCAGATAAAACACAGTAAAAGTACAAAAAAATGTGGGGATATCTAAACGGTGAATGAACAGTTCCGCATGGTACTGTATGGGCTTCCTGTGATGTAGTGAAACAAAAGGAATAGTCAAATTGCTCCTGTGAGTAGTCCATTTATCACAGTACATGAACCCTTCATAGCTGTATGTAAACAGTTTTTCTGTACCTATTTCCTCCTCCATACACTCGGGAATCCATGCCCATCTCCAGCTCTGGTGTGGAATCAATTATTTCCTGAAACTCTGACCATTCATCGCTGCTTCCCATACCTGGAGAACAGATGCACATGCATGCTGTTATGGCACATCAGCTGCACTGCATATGAGAGATAAAGCTGAGTTTCCATCCTCTCACCAATGCTCACGTTCCTGGTTTCCTGGGAAACCTGCACCTCCATGTTGCGACTGAATCGCTTGGCGCTTTTTCTGCGATTCCCGGCCCGCATGGCATCAAAGTCGTAGGTCTCATTGATGGGGGTGATGGTAGCGGAGGGGACGGAGGAGGTGGGTGTGTTGGACTTGCTTCCTGTGCTACTGGGTGTGGCTGCAACAGAGTCAGACTCCGACCCATCCTCCTGGATGCAGCAGAGGTGAATAGCAACATGGGCACAACAGAAAAACATCAATAAATCAAATTGAAGGCTTTTATAATAAGATTTGAAGAGGCATGATCAGATGTTGATCTCACTGATTTTAAGTCATTTAAAGATATAGACCAGATACAGCCAAATTCACCAATTTATTCTTTACACAGGAGTATGAAATTTAGATACACCAACAAATATTCTTAAGCTCCTATTGAGAGCATCTGCTACTGTACTTAAATGTAATGCTAATGTTTCAGTAATGTAGAGTTATGAGCAAATCATCCATGCCCCTGGCCCCTTTTAAATTAAAAAAAACTATTTTTGAAATTAGGGAATATAAAGCAATATCAAAAGAATCAACTTCTTAAGTTACAATTCAGCTTTTTATAAATGTAAAGAAAAATGCCATGCTGGGATATATTTATACCATTATGTATTATCAATGGGATATCCTTTCTCGTATGGCATGAAAGCTTTTTTATAGTTCTTCTTTCACAGATTATCTGCCAGATTTAAATCAGGACTCTGACAGGGTAATCCAAATATAGATTTTTTTTGTATTCATTTTTTAAAATATCTTAAAAAAGGCTTACCTAGGTAAAAACATCCTTAAGAAAGCACATAATTTGGCAATCAAATCAGATCTACTTTAAAGGGGTCATAGAATGATTATATAGGGTATGAGGTGCTGGTCCTTAAGGTCTCTGAATAGGGTGTGTAACATTGGTTGGGCTCAAAATTGCATATTTTCTGTTCTATGAGTCCTAATGCAAGCCTGGTTAAAAGCCCTAGAATGAAACTACAGGTTTTCTTCCTTTTATGGTATGCTCCTGGATATTTAGATGAGCTGTGCGCTGATTGGTTGGTTTACAACGAGAGAAGCTGCTGAGCAAAGACGCATCATAGCAACAAGCACACAGTCACTTAAACATCGAAATTGTTGATATGGGAGGGTGACCAGATGTCCTCTTTTTCCCGGACATGTCCTACTTTTCGTAGCTAAAAAAATGTCCGGGTGAAATTTCAAAATAGTCCAGGATTTTGGTCGACTACAGTGCAGCACGTAGTGGAAACACACCTGGCATTCAAACCGAGCCGTAAGCTCCGGGGCTGGTCCGGGAACCCCGGCGGACGGGGGCAGACAGCCCGACCTAAACCCGACCCGGTGACGGTAGCCTGGACACAGGCGGCCCCATGCTTCCCCCCGCCTGCTTTACGGGCGGCTAATGGCTCTCTGCTGAGGTCCGGTCCAGCCAAAAGCCCAGCAGTCGACACTTCATACCCGCCCCCTCCCTTGGGCCAGTGAACCAGTGGGTTGGTCTGTATGTCAATTTCGGGGCGTGACATAAGCATACGCCAGAACCAAATAAGCCACCATCCCTGAGCTTATGTCAATTCGTTGCTTCCTTTGGATTCGCCGTTTTATGGTGGAAATTTAGAATTGTGAGATTTGCCGAGAAAAGAGGTGTCGATGGGGTTTGAACTTCTCTGTACGTCTATTTCACCCCCTGAACTATCGTTATTCATCTATGACAACGTAAACTCGGTTTTGCATTCTATGACCCCTTTAAAAAAAGAGAAATACCTGAAATACTTGATGATAATAAACAAGATTGATATTGGTTTAATTTCAGAAATGCACCATTTATTCAGCAACGTTTAGCCTGCTAACAATGTTCAAATTTTCAAAATTAAATGATAGCTAAATTTTGAGGTTTTCTTTCTACTGCTGCTGTCAAATCTGAAATTGGTGCAAGACCAGGTAAATATCAACCAGCAAACCATTAATAATCCCAAGGCCTTTTGAGCATGATTTATAGGAGGAACAAATGACTGACAGACCTTTGCTGTTCTGCTACTTATCCAGTTAAACAGATATAACAGTCACAAATATTTCAAAGAAAACTACTGAAAAAAAAGCTGTGAAATACACATTTTGGAAAAATTGGTTGGTACCCAAAGTTTGATTAAAGACAAAATCACAATGAAATAACTTAATTCTGACAAAAGCAACAATCAAATATTGCTTTTCATTCATGCTTTAACAAATAAATCAGGCCTGGACCAAAATGATGGGGGCCCTAGAAGAGACTGTAAATAATGTGACCAAAGGAACATGTGGGTGCTCACTAATTAGCATCACAGTCATTGAGTCCATATATAGAGCTACAGGTAGTTGTTGTGCTGTTTGGTGACATGGTGTATACCACACCCAACATGAACTAGAGGAAAAGAAAGAAATCTCGCTCTCATCCCACGTCTTTGGGTCCTCAACAGGATAATGGCCCAAAACACACAGATCAAAACACTAAATAACAGCTAAGAGGAAAACATTGGACTATCCTGAAGTGGCCCTCTATGAGTGCTGACCTGAATCCCTTTGAGCATCTTTGGAAGGAGCTGAAACATCATGCCTGGAAAAGGCATCCTTCAAACCTGAGACAACTGGAGTAGTTTGCTGATGAGTAGTGGACCAAAATACCTGCTGAGGGGAGCAGAAAACTACTTGAGAATTATGGGAATCATTAGATCGTCCCAAAGGTTGTGCAACAAAATATCAAGTTAAAGGTTACCACCATTTTTGTCAATTTTTTCAATCATTCTGGTGGAAGCATGGTTGAAAAGCAATTTCTGATTTTATTTGTTTGTTGTCATAGAATATTTACATATTATTACTTTTGTCATTTTATTCATTCAAGTTATTTCTGTGACCATTATGGGTTTTTCTTTTATTAAACGAGGAGAACCAATAATTCAGTCCATGTGTATATGTGTGTTTAAACACAGCAGGACAAGCACCACAGTAACACAATCACACAGTTACAAAATAAAAACTGCATGAAAATGATCCAACTAAATGTGATCGCTGCTTGCTTGAGTCAAAGCTTAAAAACATAGAAACCAGATTTCATACGAGCAGACTGGATTTATCAGGGAAGTGGTTTCAAACGTCTTTTATTTTTAAGTGACACAAGCAGGCGTGGGAGCGGTGGCGGTCCACATGAGCGTGGGCAGTAGCAGTGATGCTAGCCCCTCCCTCTTCCACTAGGGAGCTGTGGACGAAGACAGGACCCCCCCGTCTGTCCCACCTGATAGGCGGAGCTGAAGGTGGAATGTCCGAGCTCGCTGACCTGCCAGATGTCTTTCCCGGGCATCATCCTAGCCCCCCCGGGACCCCCACGTACCATGCCCTCGCCACCAGGGTACAGGCTCAACGACGGCGGGCGCTCCGCTTTGCTGCAGGTGGAAAGGGCACAGAGAAGGGTGGAGAACCACATGAGTTCAGCTGCTGGGTAAAGACCCCTTTTAAAAATTTTAAAATCTGCCATGCTACAAGCAAAAGCTACTAATTTATTAAGGTTCGATCTAATTTAACACTTACTGAGTAAGTGTAAATTAGAAGGATAATTACACATTATAAGAGCAGCTTGCATTTTTGTGTTCCATGCTAGATTGATAACGTTACAGCAACAGTTTCTAAGGCCTGACTCAGATCCTCACCTCTAAACACACACAGGTTTAAGCCAATCAAAGCCCCAGCAGCTCTGGCTCTGTGTTTAGGGTGTTTTTCTGCCTGAAGGACAAAGTTCTGCTTTGGTCTCCTGTTGTTTGCAGCCTTTGATCGTTTTTCTTTTAGGACTACCCTGAATTTATCTCTAGATACCATCTAATTGTTTACAGTTTCCCTAAATGTCTTCTGACAAACAAGATTTCTTATGAGCTCTTTAAAATATTTCCACAGCTCTGATCTGTGGATCCCTGTATTCCTTCAGTGGTACTTTGCGCCTCTTGTTTCTATGTATTACAAATTACCAACAGTTGGGTTGACTTTACTTAAGATATTATATTATATTTGCTACTTTTGTGATTTTATCAAATGAAAACTTAATAAAAAAACATAAATGCTTGGGGTTGTAATGAGGGAAAAAGTGATTTCATTGTTTATAATTATTCATACATGGTCATTTCTTCCCCCGGTAGGACTGCTATTCTTTAGAATAGAAAAATACAATTATCTGGTAGCATCCAACTTAAACTGTGTTTCACTGTCGCTACTGTTCATTGGCTCGTTTAACGGAGTAATTCCATACTATATGTTTTTCTTTTTGAGGGATCAGCTCTTAAAATATTCAAATTATCTCCTATGGGTCTGAACAATAGAATAACTTTAGGCCTGCATCTGAAATGGTAGTGAGAAATTAAATAAGAACAAATGCACACCACTTGATTAACATGAACACTGAGGCTAACATCTCTGGTCAAAAAAAAAATGCTCCACAGGCAACAGACAAAAAAGGCAGGCAAGAAGATGTAAAAAAATAAATAAATAAAGGAGAAAGAGGATAAGGTAGATTAGGGAATTGGGGGAAGACTTTGAAGGTGACATTGAATCCATTCAAAATAACTCGGTAGAATACAAAATCAGTGCATTTGTGATTCTAAGCAGTTTTACAAGCATCAATAATTGTTAAAGCGAATGCAAATGAAGTTTTTTTTTTCCTCGCTGCATACAAAGGTTTGAGCACTTCATATGAACCCTAACCAATCGATTGATCAATCAATTAAATGTTAGTTATTAAATGCTTTAAAAAAACAGAGATTGATCAAAATGCTTTAGATAAGAGAAGTGAAAGAAATGAAAATAAATCATTAACATTTTATCAGTGGATTTTACAGAATATTGTTCCAAATGTCAATTTATTTTTTGATGATTACTGTAATTAATTTAACTATTAATTAAAGAAGATGAATAATCATGATTTGGGCTTTTGTGTGCTAAGATACAGCTTCCATTTCGATGCTATAGATCTAAAATAAGATCAAAGCCCTGCATAAGGTAAGGCTGTGTTTATGTCACAGCTTTACAAAAAGTGAAGTCCAAAGGCTTAAAATGTCTGAATTTAACAGAACATAAATTAAACTGACTTTATGAACCCTTCCCAGCACTTATTTTAAGTGCTCAAACCTCCACATGACACCATAAACATCAGCAGATATGCAATAAGGGAGGATTTGCGATTCTTAGTCAGGTTTTGACTCCAAGCAGTTCGGTTTAAAGGATGCAGCGGAGCAAAGTAGGGAGAGCTATGGGAGCATGTTGGATTTACCTTTTCCTCCATGTGTGGCGTTGACTGTGCAAACAGGAGCACAAAGAACAAGCCAGCAGGACAGACAAGACAGACAGATTAGTGAAAACGACAGCATGCCATGATGACCCGCACAAACACACTAATACACGTTTGGAACACATGAACTGTTAAAGTTCTGCTTTTATTTTTCCCTTTTAAAGCAGATTACTGGTGGAGGTTTCATTGCAGGAGCTGTTAAATAATGCATTCAGTAAACCTCAGAGGGGTTCAAAGTGCAACGCTCGGCTCATCCATGTAATAAAGAAGATTGGAAGCATCAGTACTCACTGCACCTGACAATGCAGTTAAGATTTGTTGGAATGCTGCATGAATTCAGCACTGGTTTTAAAACGATCCCAATATAGAAAAGGCAGCACTTTAATTTAAAGGAATAGTACACCCAAAACATGATTAGCCTTCATTTTCTACTCACCCCCATGCTGAACAACACTCTGGAGTACTTTTTTGATATCTCAAATGCATCTGGAGATCTGGGAGGCTTCTTGCTGTCTGCTGACATTCAAATAATGGAGGTCTATGGTGCCCGAGACAGATAGGTCCATAAAAGTCCACAAAAACGTGTCAATATTCCTCCATACTGCTCGTCCAATGTATTCCAAGTGTCCTGAGTGGGGTAGCATCCAGAATTTACTCGAAACGAAGTCATTTAGAATGTTTTTAGAGCATAAACAGTAGTGTATAGGATTTCCTGAAAGCGCGCGCCAGCGCGTTCAGGACGCTACGGAAGCCGGCAGACCAAACCAGATGAAAGTGCGCATTCAGCGTCTGCTCTGCCGATAATGCAAGCGTAGAAGAAGAAATGTGCTGTTTACCTGTGCAAAGAAAGAAACAACGAAAGAAAAATGTCTGAGGACTTCAGTGTTGAGGAAGAGCATGAGTTCTTTGCCGAGCTGAATGCGCACTTTCATCTGGTTTGGTCTGCCGCGGTTTCCGTAGACTCGTGAATGCACTTTCAGGAAATCCTATACACTACTGTTTAGGCTCTAAAAACATTCTAAATGACTTTGATTCGAGTAAATTCTGGATGCTACCCACTCAAGACACTTGGAATACATTGGACGAGCAGTATGGAGGAATATTGACACGTTTTTGTGGACTTTTATGGACCTTTCTGTCTCGGGCGCCATAGACCTCCATTATTTGAATGTCAGCAGACAGCAAGAAGCCTCCCAGATCTCCAGATGCATTTGAGATATCAAAAAAGTACTCCAGAGTGTTGTTCAGCATGGGGGTGAGTAGAAAATGAAGGCTAATCATGTTTTGGGTGTACTATTCCTTTAAGCTGCACAGCTTCATGAAATCGAATCCTGCAAGATGATTAATGAGTAGCAATATATATATTTTTTTCTTTTTGGCACACAGAATCTGATCTGCAACAGTGGAACGGATGAGCTGTTCTGCACAGCATGATGATGACACATAAAAGCCTGACATGTTCAGAACCAAGGAGACAACATGTGAGAGTTACATGTTAAAATCCACAAATCAGTGTGTGACAGAAACAAGCATGAGAAAATGTCCACTCACGTTCGTCCACAGCCGGGGCCTTCTGATTGGCTGTTACTGCCCGCCTGTTGAAGTTTGGAGCGCTCTATGTGCTCAACATAGGTCTGAATCATCTGTGGACAAACATGTTCAGATATGGTTTTAAAAAAGGGAAGACACTAAAACAGGGACTGTAGCCACACTGCAAAGATAAACACTGCAAAGTCAGATAGGGTTCTAAAGTTTAGGTTAAAATATCAAAACAATTATTTTTAACTGTTAAAATTGTGGGACTTATTTTATAAACATTTGCGTACAGTTTAGCTGATAATCATTTCGCAGTGACAGAAGTCCAGGAGCCTCTCTTTTGTTGGGACATTCAGACGTGCTAAACATCCATGAAAGCCTTAAAAATCAGCTTCTGTTGCAGTTGAAACATTTTGAACAAAGCATTTGCAAAGGATCAATTGTGGCTTTAGTAAAAGCCCAAGCTTCCTGCTATTTCAAAGACATCAAGATGTCATTCACACTGACAAGGTTTCCAGGGCTTTCGGAAGAGTAACAGGCCCACAGCATGACGGGTCCTACACTGTACAGTAGACAGGCGATGCTTTTTACTCATATTCATTGTTATGTCCATCCTGCCAAAGCCAACATTTATGGAATAGACCAACATTGTTTAGCCTAAGATCTAGGTGCTAAAAGAAAATGGTCTTAGTGTCACACCATATCTAAATACCAGGGATATAACTAGTTAAACATTGGTATTGGAAGACAATGTCCACAGACGCTCTGATGATTGGGAAAATTCCAATTTTGTTAGGGAAGCAAATGGGTTTGGAAATTCCTTATATCCATCCCATGTACTTTTAACACTTAATGTACTTTGAATCAAAGAGTGCATTTATCTTAAGTTGTCAGTTTTCCATTACTGCAATTTAAAAAAAACTCACTGCAACATTTTAACACTTTAGCACACATACTCTGCAAAAACAGAACCTTTTTTATTCTGTTAAACAAATACAGTTATCAGGAATATAACCTGAAAGTGAAGATTCTCAGTCATCCAGGTCATAGTCATTCCAAAAAAAAGTTAAAAACAATCCACTGCACTTTGTTTCCAAGTTTGAAGATGTTTTGCTTCCCTTCCAGGAAGCTTTTCCAATTCAAAATTGAAAAAGCTTCCTGGATGGGAAGGAAACGTATAGACTTTGTTCTGTAAACACATAAAAAAGAATTATAATAAACAACCAAACAACAAGAAAAACTGCTTACCTCAGTGTGGCGCTGATGAAGAGCGTTGTATTCCTTCTTCATCTCTGCTTCGCGCTCCTCAAGACGAGTGACTGTAAGAAAAAAAAGTGTTTTTCTTTTATTCTAACATTAAAATCAAACAAAATTAAGGACCTAATTAATGTAGTGAAAACCAGAAGGATGTATGACAGGAAAATAGTTCAAGTTATTTTCTATATTTTTCTTATAGTTGGCATGCTGGTTCATTATGAATAATTAATAAATATAGAATGAATCAGTTAAGATAACAGAGGACTCATTCGATTTCAGCCGTCTGCTTTGTTAAATAACATAGTGAACATCCACTCACTCTGGTCTGAGTAGTTCTTGGTCTTCAGCTCTAACTGCTTCCCCTGTAGCTCAAGAAACTCCACCTGCATCTGCAGATCCTTCTTATCCGCCTCCAGACTGTCCTCAAACTCAATGAATTTCTAGAGAGAAAAGGAAATAAAACAAGACTAAAACCTTAATAATTAACTCAAGAAAAAGTGAAAAGTTTTGTGACATGATGATGATTAGATGTATTACTAAAGCTCATCAGAGGAGCGCTCGGATTGCAACTGAGAGCAGGTTTTAGTTATTCCTGTTGGGTTTTGTCAAATTGTGCATGATTTGTTTGTAAGATATGCAGGGGTTTTACGATTTGGACGTACGGAGTGCCACACTTCTGTCTGTGTTTTTGTTTTTCATAAAGCTGTCTACAAAGCCGCCCAGTTTTTCCCCAATGCTGTAAGAACAGAGAGGCTTAATGCTGTAATCCTCCAACTGCAGGGAGAACCACGGTCACTTTGCAGCACAGATACAGGACTGAACATGGAGTAGCTCTTACAAAGATACATGTCATCAAATACAGTATCTGTTAGGGGACACAATTATTTAAAACATGAGTTTTTTATTTCTGAGTAAAATTCTCCATCTCAGGTAAACATTTCCTTCTTTACAGACTCTTGCAAAAGCACTCATATCCTATAAAATTTCTACATTCAGCAAGAGGAAATGAAAAATAGCCAGACAAAAGTTTTCTCGCCATTTTTTTTTTATAGAAATTTATAAGAGATCCCATTTGCACTTTGCCACAAGCCATGTGGAACATGAGGCCATGGTTCCCTCCACAGATGAGACCACAACGGATCTGCTTTGGTCTACATGCAAAGTATGATTTAAGGCTTAAAGCTAACACTGCATATTCCCATAAACATATTATCATTCTTTTTTTTGGTCTTTGCATTAAATCAAAGTTTAATACAATCTTTTTTTGTGTATTTTACCCATATAAATAGCAAAAATATTGTAAAAGGAAAGGAGGGCAGCCAAAAAATATCTTGTGATGTTAATTTTTTTGTTTGCATCTTAAATTGCATTCATTCTGGACAGATTATTAATTTAAGAGCAGCTTCAGAAACCATCATTCCACCTCGAACCAATGAAATTTTCACCGTTCTTAAGCTTTAAAACCACATATCTCAGAAGAATGTAGAGATCCCACATACACGATCAGGAAAAGCATGATCAGGAATCAAACCACCACACTGAGATGGATAAAAATGACGTTTCTTGGGTTCTGTGTACTTTCTGTGGAAGATGAATAATTCAGCAGGTGTCTATTTGGCGATAGAGTGGATCTAATTTACTTCCCCGACAAAATGCAGCCAAGTGCATCTGAATGCGGGTCGGTGACAGTTTCAGCTATTTATAACCTGTGAAACCCGTGAAGGGAGTGAAATGACAGCAGCTGAGAAAGGGATGAAAAAGAAGCTGCATAATCACTGATAATCCTTGTAGACTTGTTGTCAGGTCACACCTTTTAGTAAGAGACTAAGCCTGAATATTCATGTGCAAAAGGTTAAACCCAGATATGATAAGAAGCACCGATGTAACAAGCAAAGCAAAAGGCATAAAGTGTAAAACCTGATAAGTCCCTAACAGTTAAAAAGGGCGGCTGATTCTAAAAACTGGTAATGGTTGATAATGATTTATGGGTGCTGTTTTCATTTCCCATCATGTAGGCCCCTGCAACCTTGTAATCGGAGCTACATAATACGCCCTGCTCCCTACATTTAATCAAGATGGTGAATTCTAATGTGTTGTCAGATTCCTTCGTTATCTTTTTCTCCTATTAGTTCTTTGCCTTTTTAACCAGATTCCCGATGCAGCTTTATTTACTCCAACCTCTTTCTTTCAGTCTGTTTTTATCCCTCTGTCTGCACCTCACTAGAACAAATCAGGTTACAGTTCCACTGCTCTGTGCTCTATTGATTTCCTGCACTGCAACTGTAAGGACGTCGTCCCATCCCCCACTGAGCTCCACTCATGGTCAGACATAACGATCTGTTTATACGCTGCGTTGTGTGTTTTGGTCACAACCATCGAAAGGAGGGGAAAAAATGGGAATTATTTGATGAATAGAAGAGATGTGAAGCTGTTAAAAAGGGAGGAACATGTGTTGTGTTCCCAGTCACTCATTAATGTTGAGGGTACCTTCCCAAAGGTTTACCAGCTTTCTTTAACTTCCTTTCTTTAACTGTATTGATTTTATTTTTAACATTAGTAAACATCTTTCTGATAAGAATGACTACAAACAGATTATACTAGGCAAAATATAAGTAAGTTAAACATGTTTGAAAAAGCTGCAGTATTTTATTTGTGTTCCACCTTTCATTTCCACTACAGAAACCACTGAGTTCAGTTTGCTTCCAGTTATCCTGAAGCATGGATATATCTAAAGATGCAGGGCATCAGATGATCATGGCTGTGTTGGGAGCTGGAGAAGTACCACCTTCCTCCAGCAGAGTCCGCCGTGGATCCTCCTGAGCCGAGCCTTCGACGCACCTGTGGCTCGTATCATCATCAGAGGATCCACAGTATAAAAGCTGTCTTCAGACCTTGCCTCGAGGCCACAGTGTTGAATCTAGTTGGTTAGCACCTGAGCCAAAGAACCTTCTGAGAATCTTTTATTGCTCTCTGAGTCCTGCTAGGATTCTAATCCTTTTGTGTCTCTGTTTCCAGGAAACCAGTTTTTCTCTGTGAGCTCTGGATGAGCTTAGACTGCCGAGCCTGCCCTCTGAGCCAAACCCCAAGACTCTTCTCTGGATTTCCCATGCAGCTCTGGATTAAGAGCTAGAAAACTAAAGCCAAGGTCTGTGCCCTCATCAGAAGTAAGACGCTGAAGCAGTTATTGGACTCTGCTGAAACAAACCTTCTCTGGTCCCAACAACTCCTCTCTCTAAACTCAAACCGGAACCCTCAAGGTATTAATCTGAACTTCACAAACCCAAGCCCAATTGCTCTCAAAGCTAACTGCTCTGTTATCTACACAGACTCCAGTGAACCAGTCCCCAGGCCTGAACCAGTTCCAGACAATATTCCATGTGCTTGTGAACAATAAACATTGTTAAACTTTTACTCCTGTTTCCGTCTCCGTGGTGTTCTGCATAACTGGGTCTCATCAGTGAACCCATCATGACAGAACACTGCGGCCAAACACAAGGCCCAGCAGATCATCTCCACCGTCGATTGGAGGAGCAAGATGCTCAGATCCAGAGACAAACTCAAAACCTACGTGAGTTATATCGTGTGGTTGATTCTCACAATCATATGCTTCAGAGTTAAGCTAACTACATGAGCAGCGCCAATGCCACGACGGCAGCGCAAACATTTCCGGGTCCAGTTCCGCTTCCGAGGTCACCGGCAGTGACGTCATCACCAGAGTTCCGCCCGAGTCTTCCAGAGAAATTTTCTGGTAATATGAAGGACTGCAAGGGTTTTTTGTTTCAATGTCGCCTTATTTTTCAGAACTCTCCCAGCAGTTTTCCCATGGATTAGAAGAAAATAACTTTCATTCTGTCCCAATTAACAGGAAGAGCCCTGGAATGGGCTCAGGCAAGGTTTGCCTCTGACGAAAGCCTCAGTTGTCAATATTCCGATTTTGTCTCTGAATTTTCTCAAGTTTTCAACCAAGAAACTGATCAAACCATTGACTCTCGTGCTCTTTTCAATCTCAAACAGGGAAATTCTTCAGTGGCGGAGTTCTCCATTAACTTCCGGGTAAAAGCGGCTGCTTCCGGATGGAATCAAAGTGCTTTAAAAGGCGCTTACTTTATAGCTTTAAACGAAAGCATCAAGGTCGAACTAGCAACCCTCGACGAACCTGCAACACTCGAAGAATTTATTTGCCTTACAATCAAGTTGGATAACAGGATTCGAGCCAGAAACAGCTCCAAAAATAGGAATCAGGGTTCCTTTGCCTCTGCCCCTGCTTCTAATAACGTGACTGTTTTTTCTGCTCCCACAGAACATTTGTCCAAGCCGAGACCTAAGACCCAGTCTCTCCCTTTGCCTGTTCAGGCCTCTCATACTGGAGAGACGGAAATTGAACCCATGCAGGTTGGACATACAAGGCTGACTCCTGAGGAAAGACAAAGACGTTTTCTGAGCAAACTGTGCATCTACTGTGGTGAGAGTGGTCATTTCATCGCCTCATGCCCAACTAAATCAAAAGCCGGGGCCCGTCAGAGGTTTTGAGGAGTCTGGCGGGCCATGTTAACACTGAAAAATCTCCTCGTCTGATGCTTCCTGCCACTTTATTCTTCTCAGACCAGAACCTCTCTTTTTCTGCCTTCATCGATTCAGGCTGTGAACGAAATTTAATTGACTCTAATCTCGTCCAGCAGCTTCAAATTGAAACCGTTCCTCTAAACCAGCCTCTTTGTGTCTCTGCTATCGATGGGAAGAAACTCCACCAGGTCACCCATCAAACCCAGCCTCTCGAGCTACTTATCTCAGGTAATCATCGTGAAACCATAACATTTTTTGTTTTTCCTTCCGCATGTTCCCCTCTGGTGCTTGGCTTTGAATGGTTGGAGAAACATAATCCCCATATTAACTGGACTGATCGTCATGTGGAATCCTGGTCTACTCTTTGTCATGAAACATGCCTCCGTTCAGCAGCTCCCGCTGTGGGGTCCCCTAGAGGTGGGGGGGAGATGGACTCTCCTGACCTTACTTCTGTCCCTTCCGAGTACCATGATTTGGCTCCTGTCTTCAGTAAGGTCAGTGCTACGTCCCTTCCACCACACAGACCATATGACTGTGCTATTGAGCTATTACCTGGAGCACCCCTTCCCAGCAGCAGACTTTATAATATTTCCAAACCTGAACGAGAAACCATGGAAAAATACATAAATGAGTCTTTAGCTGCCGGAATAATTTGCCCATCTTCTTCCCCGTTGGGTGCAGGGTTCTTTTTCGTTGGCAAGAAGGACGGTTCTCTAATAACTATTAAAAATAAGTACCCTCTCCCACTACTTGCTTCAGCTTTTGAACCCGTTCAAGGGGCTACTGTTTTTACCAAACTCGACTTGAGGAACGCTTACCACCTTCTCCGAATTCGAGATGGAGATGAGTGGAAAACAGCCTTTAAAACTCCCTTGGG